AAATTAAAAAACATAATAAAAATAAAATAAAAATTATAAAAAAAAATTTTCGATTAATATAAAATACATAAGAAAAACCTAATAAATAAATTATTGTTATTAAAAAATCTTTTTTATTTATTTTTTTATTTATTTATTTTAAATCACTATTTAAGTGATGAAATGCTCCAAATTCACTTCGTTTATCATTTATTGGATGTTTTCCAAATTATTTTTTATTGATAAAATACTTTAAAACAGTAGCCGAAGCTAAATACTCATCATCTGACGAATCCATATCTTTTCACTTCAATTTCACAAACACGAATGAACAACAAACCCAAATGCATACAAACATACATAAAACACAAATAATAGATAAAATATCAGCGCTGATTCTCGCATCCACTATGCACACTCAAACTTGTTTCTCGCATGAACAAGTTCTCGCAATAAGCGTCAGTCGGCTCGGCTCGGCAACAAGCGGCCACTCTGTTCGCACCCTTAGTATGATTTATGTAATCAAATTCGTTCACTTGCAATTTATTATCATACAATGTATTTGCAATTATAATACAAAGTACTTACTTAATTTATGCGAATTCTACTAGACTGGTTAGAATTTTCCTGCAAATGAGTTAATAATGGCAACTGTTGTTAAGTACAATTTACAAAATACTTTGTTGTGTTATTAAATAAAATATTTATTATGCCTGGGACATACAAGTGGTATAGAAATTACAATATCAATATTTGCCGTTGCTACGTAGCAACTACAATGATTGGTGGTATGAGAGTGACACACGTGTAGTATAGATCGTAATATTGATACCATACTACGATTTGTATTTCTAGACATGCATAGTTGAATATTATATTATAACTTTGAGTGTAGAAAAAACAATGGTACGTTGAGAAAAACTAAATTTTTAAAAAGATACACCCAGTCTGGCCAAGAAAAATCAGTTCTTCCTACCAAAGCATATAAAATAAATTGGTCTAAGTATTTTATAATTCCTTCCAAAATAGTATAGATGCATTCAAAGTCATTCGTGTTCCCCAAAACATTGCCAATGGAGGTAGTAAAAGGTAGATATAAGAGATTTGGTTGAAGTAGCTGCTGGGGGACAGACAAACACATTTACGCGGCAACAGTCTTCCAACTACCCACAGTGTTTCGAAAGGCACAAGTCTAAAAATAACTATTTTAAAAGCTCTTTTCAGTCATTCGAGACACTAATCTGTTCAATACGAGCTTTGTGCGTTATTTTGTTTGTATATTAGCAATAAGTTATTTTAACATGAAACAAAATACACATTTTTCTTTTAAAAAGAATAAAGACTAAAAACTAAAAGAAAATTATTTTTTAAAATAGTTAAAACAAAAAATATTAAAGAAGTTTCTTAAAATTAAATTAAATAAAAACGGCACTTTTTTGAAAAGAAAAATCTAAAATTAATAAAAATTCAATTTAAAAAAAAAAACAGTACAAAAAATTAGTTTCTAAAAATTAAATGAAACTCCAAAAAAAAAAAAACTTTATAAAACAATAGAATAAAAAAGTATATAAAAATATTAAATAAGNACAGTACAAAAAATTAGTTTCTAAAAATTAAATGAAACCCCAAAAAAAAAAAAACTTTATAAAACAATAGAATAAAAAAGTATATAAAAATATTAAATAAGTTTTTAAAAATTAATATAAATAAAAAAAATTGCATTTAAGCAATAAAATTTAAAACTGAATGTTTAAAAGAAAATTTATTTTATTTGTAAAAGAAAACACTTTAAGTTAAAAAAAGAAAAAACATACATAAAAATTATTCTACGAATTTAATTCAATAAAAAAGATATATTTTTTTAAACAACGAAAACTAAAGCTAAAAGAAAATTAAATGTAAAAAAGAAAAACAATAACTTATAAAAGAGAGAAATCAATTTATTGAGTTTCTAAAAATGTATTTAATTAAAAAAAGTTTTCGTTTTAAAAATAATAAAATTTAAAAATTAAATTTAAAAAAATACATAAAATAAGTTTTATAATTTAAATGATATAATAAATGTATGCTAGTATATTTAAAAAAAAAATGTATGATTTCTGTATTTAGTGAGAAATCGGAAAATATTTACTTAAGTGTTTCCCTCGCTACCTAACAGAACCTGCAGTCCGTCAGATGAGTTGAGAATTTTACTCATACGCCATGTACGCACGTTCGATTTTAATTTTCCGTGATGAATATGGATTTCATGGATGGACGATTTCATATTCGTAGTCAACGGCCTCAGAATCCCTGTTTGTAATGTTTCAGGCGAATCTAATAGTAAATCTAAATTTTATTTTTTTTACCGCCATATTGGGTCCACCATTTTGAATTTTTCTATTATTTTGAAAATACTCATACTTAATGTAATTACTTTTGAAAACACACGTACACATACACATGGCCGTAACGTGCAAAAAATTCAAAAAATCGTTATTTTTCGCCATGAAAGAGTGAAGAGAAAAGAATGATGATGATGATTTTTGGTAATCCGAATGAGAGGATTCTAAAATCTCAAAAAACGATTATTGTACAGGAAAGCTTCACGATGTAGCGTGTGGTAGTCAACAGCTTCAACCTCACCATTTTCATTATAATCTAAATGAGGCCAAAAGTGCGACGGTATTCATTTGAGTACGTCAATTATATTTACAGTAGGGGTATTCACGATCCGGGGCACACTATCTAGCATGGTGCATAGATACATACATGATTGTTGTTATTTCATTTCTTCAAACAACAACAAAATTAGCCAATCTTACTATTTATGCTATCTATGCACCATGCTAGACTGTATGCACCGAATCGTGAATACCCCTACTAAACTTACTGTTAAATGTATTACCAAAACATTATTGCGAAGCCCTATTTTTCAATTGTTAAATTGCAATGCATCCATACTAAATAATAAACACCAACAGCGACTAACATGTATGTGCGTGTTAAGAGTTAAGCGGAAATAGTTTGCATTCTGCTTTATACAATACTTTGTATTTTGCTTGCAATAGTATTAAATATGTAGTCGTGTACGTTGATTACACTTTGCGTGTTGACTTACACATAAAAGTCAAGATAATTGCTTTAATCAAATTTATTGATATGATGAAAAACACATGCATTTTTACATAAGTATGAATCTATGCATTAGTTCTAATACTGCTTGCAGTTCAACGAACTACTTACTTATTGCTTTTTTAAATATATTTCGCATTTCCTCTCAGCTGCAGCAACTACGCAATTTAAATCTAATTCTATTGCATTTTGATTGATACTTAATTGTTGTTGAGCGCTTACAATTGCAATTTAAATACATACAGTATGTAGTACATAATTTGATTCATCGATCTAGAAATTTCATGTTACGTATACGACGCGTAGCACACGCGAGGCGCTCAATAGTAAAGGCTTAGGCAAAGTAAAAATTACAATGGATGCACTTTTTTCCAGTTAACTTAAGCAAATGGGCCCCACTACTTTTCATAAAATGAAAATCATACTCATGGAGAAAGGCTGTCACCTGTTTGAACTCGAATAAAGGGCATTATTTATTTGAAATTTGTATTAAAATATGGATGTCGGAGGTTTACAAAGGTTGTTGTTTGAAAATATTTTGAAAAGTGTTGCCACCTAATTGCTAAGTCGAATTTAAGTTAATGATATGAAATCCTAAATTATGGATGTCAAACGAAAGTTAAGAAACTTTGCGTTTAAACATTGAGAATATTATTGCGGTGTTTTATAAGGTTTGCCATCTGTTTAAAAATTTAATGCAGTTAATTGAAATGAATTCTATACTACATGAAAAATCCAATTCAAATTAAATTAATGGAACAAGGTAATTGGAAAATGTATCGCAATACGGGTGGTTAAAAATTTAAAATTTGAATGAATTATTACAATATGGTCATCAATGGACTTTATTGCCATTGACCTTATGTGCCCCAGCGTAATTTCAGAAAATTTTTAGTTTTAGAAAAAAGTTTTAACTGTGTACATTTAAGTAATTTTATCAACTTTAATAAAATAAAAAATATGGGATGAAAATTGAGACCTCAGACTGATTTGTCCACGATCACATTTATTTACCCCACTGTGTAGCGCAGGATGGAAAAAGTCATGGTGACAGTTAATAAAACAAACCATTTGGGCTTAGGTTTAGGTTTTTGCCACTCATCAATAATTGCAGCCGAGGTTAAAGACTTATTAAAAATAGTTTTTAAAGATTGGACAAGAAGGACAATTTTTAATTAGTAGCGCAGATGGCCCGTCCACGTCAGTATGAGAAGAAGGCTTAAGTCCTGCTATCCCCTTGACGATATCTTCTGAAGAAAGAGATCAGTAACCAAAATTTAAATACGAATCAAAAATGTTGGAGAAGTTTGGTAAGGCATTGTTATCGTCTAATACAAAGTTCGATCTAAAGAAGCCTTCAGCAAATTCGCCGTCCAAAAAAAAAACTGAAGTGGAAATATTCAAAGACGATCTTTTTTTTGGATTCAACTCTGCAGTCCGGGTGTAGTTTCGTAGAGGGGTTTGTCTAAGCAATTTAATTTTCTTAAGTTTTGTTGATATTTAACAGAAAAGTTGTTACTTAGATTTTTAAGCTTTTTTAATTATTTAGTGTACCAAGGTATCTCATACGAAAGCTTTTTCTTAATAGTCCATTTTGCAGACAGAACTCATAAATTCTTGATATAAAAGTTGAGCAGCATTTCGCAATATCCAAATCCGAAGGATTCCAGTTAATACCAAGCAATAAATCTTTCAATTCGATTACAGTAAATTAGTATACTCGTAATGATGACTTTTATGATTGCAATTAAAGCAAACCTGATCGTATATAATTTAAGAATTTTAATTTAAAAAATCTTAATTAAAATATAATCGCAATCTTAAGTGGCCAGCCCTGATTTAAACTAACTAAATTCCACAAAATGTGCATCCAGTGTTAAATAATAAAATTTATCTTTTTCTTGCAGCATATGTATGTTGTACATATAAACACTTTGGCAATAAGGCAGGCAGGCCCCTCAGAAGCATACTCAGCACGTTGCCGCAATTGTCGGCGCAACATTAGCGTTGACGCAAATTATGACAAAGCATTGAACGTCATTGTCGGCAGCAATCAATAAGCAACAACAGCAAAAGCAACTAACCATAAAAAAGTGCATGCATACAACCAACCATATGTATGTATGTATGTATGTAGTTGCATATGAGTTCGTAAATAGTATTTCGCAAAGTATCGAAAATCAAGCGCAATAGGATTACAGCAACAACACTACCTACCAGCTAGCTTAGAAGAAGTCGCGTATTAAAGTGCAATCATTACAGTGCAACAATAAAAAACACTACGACAACAATAACAATATTAGCCCCAAAAAAGCTGCCGCAAACAGTGTATCAGCCAGCACCTTAGGCGTTCGTGGTCAGTTCTGGTAGTCACTACAACCTTAAATCACAGCCAGCCAGCCAGCCAGCATCAGTGGCGGCAGCAGCCATATAGACATTAAGATGGATTCGACAACCGATACGGGCTGCAGTGATTCCTACAACAGTTATGGCAAATCACACTCCAGCGGCACCTCGCTCAACTACAGCAGCGACATAAATGCAATTTGTGCTGATTTGGGTGATCATAATGGTTGCGTTGGTGATAATATCTCATGCAGTGGCCTAAAGTACTTGCCAACTTGGCCTGCGATTAATTTGGAATTTCGCAATTTAACTTACGAAGTACATGATTTGCACGCGAAGGGTGAGTGTGAAAAATTTTTAAGTGCAACATAGATTTATGAATGACTATTTATGTGTTTGTAGGTAGATATGTACACTAGGCGACAAATGAAAGTGTGCACCTTGTTCTAATATAATATTCATAGTTATTTTCATGAACAATATTTTGCATACATTTTTTATGAAAATATAGCTCATTCTATATTCTAAACCAGACATATAAATCAAATTTTGACACTTTATATAAAGCTCATCGAAATTCTAAAAATTTTCTTTAAAATTCAAAATTTTTATTCAGAATTTCTATAAAATTTTCTAGTATGCTGTTTTGTAGCCCATTCAATTTTAGTAAAACAAAGTGCAATTTTCAAGGCGCTAAAAATTACCGTTGTGTGTTTTTTTTGGTGGGTGGTGCGCATTTTCGTCCATATCAGGAATGATATCTGGCCAAAACTATTTTTATATGGAAGAAAATGCGCATGAATATAGTTTATATTATAGAATAAACTGTATTTTCGTAAATAATTAAGGCAACAAATTTTTCATGAAAATAATAGTGAATATTAAATTAGAAAAAGGTGTAAACTTTCATTTGTCGCCTAGTGTACATATGTAAAATTTTGGTCGAAAACTAGCAGCCAATTTTTATTATGCAATTCATATTGATTTTTGAAGAAATTCTTAAGCTTGTTATAACAACAGCGCGACCTCTCAGGAAGGGAACTTGCCACGCTAGTTAACTTTTCATAGCCAGTTTTAGAGGTGGAAATTTGTAATCGAGTTCGGAGATGTTTGCCTTAAATATGTGTGAATGTCATCAGATCCGTATAACTCGTTTTATTATTAAAAATAAGAGGTCAAATTTAAAGGCTTGGTCTGTAGCTTGTGCAGTATGGTTTTAGTTTTTTGAAAAAGGTTACCACCTGTTAGACAATTAAATTCAAATAATTCAAGTTATTTAAAAAGTTAAATTAATTATTACATAGGGGTATCAGTCGAAATGGGTTTGAAAATTTCTTATATTTTGGCTATATTTTGAGGCGTTGCCACCTGTTTAAAAAGTCAAATTCATCTTAATTCATTAGTTAATTGATATACATACATATGTATAACAGTGGCAACGAAATAGGTTTAAGAAGGCTTTAGCAAATAATTTTTAAGAGGTTTGCCTCCTCGAATTGAAATAAATTATACAAAATTTATCAACATAAAATATTAAAATGTTAGCTCCAAACGAATGTGTTTTAAGAAATCTTTAGTTTAGATATTTAAAATATTTTGAAGTGTTTGAGGGGGATGGCTACCTGTTTAAAAAGTTTAATTCAAATTTCATAATAATTAAAATAAATTATTGAAGTGAAACTTCTTAATCGAGAGATAAATGCAAAACACCATATAGATAAAGACAAAGACAAACATAAAAATACAGACAAAGATTAACAGAGCAATTCTGGCAACTGTATTTCAAATCATAGCCTTTCGAAAGTCAAAAGTCTTTCGTAAGACACTTGTCTAATCTGGCAACTATCTTAAAAGCTCTCAGTGTTATTCTGTTTGTCTTTTAGCAATAAGTTTTCTAAAAATATAATCAAATAAACAAAATTTCTTTTTAAAATAATAAAAACCTGAAATTAAAGGAAAATTAAATTTAAAAAAGAAAAAAATTAATTTAAAGGAAAAACAAACAAAATAAGTTTTTTAAAATTAAACGAAATTAAAAAGTATATATTTTTCTTTTTAAAACAATCAAATATAAAATTTAAGAAAATTAAGTTTTAAGAAATACAAAAATCAGTTCCTAAAAGTTATGACATTGAAAAATATTTTAATTTTTAAAACATTTAAATCTTTAAATTAACAGAAAATTAACGAAAAAAATTTTAATAAATTTCTAAAAATTAAATTAAATTTAAAAAATTATTTTTAAAACAACAAAATCCAAAAATTAAAATAAAATTTTATTAAGAAAGAAAACAAATTTTATTGAAAAATTAAAAAATACATAAAACAGGTTTTTAAAAATTAAATTAAATTAAATTAAAAGACTTTCATTTTTTTTTTTAGTACAATGTATTAAGTTAATCTAAAATACATCTTCATTTTGAACATGCTCAAGTGATTTCTGTCTAAAGAGCTTTTCACCACTCATTTTGGCAAGAGTTTTTTTTTAAGATAGGATCCCACTATCGGCGCAAGTAGCATAATATGTACCGATTTTTATAGGGCTTGATTAGTGTATATTCAAAAAAATGTGTACAAATACTTTTTCAGTGGTCCCATTATCAGCGCATTTTGTGACAAACTTTTTCGGTGTAAATCGGCCAAATTAAATATGCGACGATAATTTATATATTTAAATATATTAATATAATAATATAATATTAAATTATAATATGCGATTATAATCGGTACAACATGATCACATTATCGCGCTTGATTAATTATAAAAATCAACATATTGTCGACTTTGGTTGCCGCATGAGCGCCCGATAAAGTCGCCGCATTTTTTACAATTTCATTGTTCTACAATGAGCAAAAGAGTGTGGGGTTGCTTAAAGTCCGCACAATTTCGGCTCAGATTGTCGCATTTCGAAAAATTGTGTTTGTTCACACTTTCGGTACATGAAATGCGAAATCGTCTTCTTTTTTAGAGGTCAAAAGGAAGACGTAGAAAAAACGATGATGAAGCGGGAGATGAAGTTGAATATAGTTTCAGATGAATACAACGATGAAGATAAAGATTGAGGATGAGCTTAAGCTGAAGAGGAAGAGGAGGATCTGTATGAAGATGAAAATTCGTTTTAAGGTTAACGTTAAGATGAAGTATGAGATGAGGATTAAAATTAAGATTAAAGTAAAGGCAAAGAAAAAAGCCAAAGACAAAGACAAATATAAAGACGAAGAGAATGACAAAAAACAAAAACAAGGATGAACACAAAGAGAAAATAGATATACAGATAAAAACAAAGACAAAGATTAAGAAACGGAGAGTCAAAGCTAAAGATAAAACTGAAGATAAGGATGTTTTATATCAGCACTTCCACTCCATATCAAATCACCGTAACTCAACTCACCTGATATCATCTTAAGACACCTCACTCCGTCTCAATTCACCTTAACTCACCTCACCTTAACTCACCATAACTCACCTCACCTCACCTCACCTTAGCACACCGCAACTCAACTCACCGTACCTCAACTCAACTCACCTCAACCAATAGTTAAGTTACACATCTTCCGCTAGTAGGGACTACACGCATTCAGTTGTTCTTCCTAGCCAGGCGCCTTTTTGGTTCTAGCCTTTCAACGTCTGTCTTATTTCGGACTCAGCAAACTTTCTGAAACTCGTTATTTCTCTTGCATTGCGGCGAATATGAAGGATTTGTAGCCCTTTCACCTAGTAATATTTACTTAATCACCACATTTGTTGAATCATTACAAAAAACCGATCTTCATAACTACATACATATGTACTATAGACCCTTCACCGCATTGGCATAACATGTCAGGCGCTTAAGTGTGCATCAGTTGCTTACGTATTAACATACGGTCATACATTATACATACTCCAGCAAAAGATTGCATATTATACCCAGCGCTCGTTTTATTCTAAATTTACCAAAGCCATTTCGCTTATGTATTAAAAAATATTGCGTGTCGCCTTTCGCTTAGATTACATTAGGTTAGGTCGTCGGTAGGCAGCCTAGGAAGAAAGTTTTGAGGCGATTCTACCGCATCGCCCTCCAGACAATCGCGCCAGTGAAGTTGATGTGTCATTTTTATTCTTTAATCAATTTAGAATACACCATCAGCAAGTTCCGGGCCCTGATTTTCGCTTGGCAATTCTTTATTGACGCCGGCACACTTGGGAAGCTGATCTACTTATCGTTTCACGGCAACGACTTCGGCTTGAAAAACACTACCAAAGTTGGAGAGTCTAAACTTGCGTTAAATAAAGAAGTTCACAGCCCCCTCCCTGTAATCACCTCGCCCGCTAATTCATAACTTGAAGAGTTGTTTAGTTATGTAACCAGGAATGAAATCGAAACTTTCAAAATTTTAATGTTTACAATCACTGATCTTATTAGGCATTTGCCTCTGCTCAGGGTGATTGTAGGTCGTGCAGTGGCAGTTTTGCCTACAATATTCAGCATTACCTAACTAATATGTCTCTGTAGAGAGTCGACGACGACGGAGACCTCCGTTATTGCCTTTTACTGATACCAATATTTTATCCTGAAGGAAGTTTCTGATAAACAAAATGACAATGTCTATGAACAATACCAATTAATATATAAGGTTTCAAAGTAGTCATCATCAAGGCTTCGCTATGTTTTGATGCGAAACAGCAGGTTATTTTAAACTCATCGTACCTTATATGAGATAGACGGCTGGATATTTTATCAGAGCCCTGCTCTAGCGCTGGAATCCTAGACGCTGCAGTAGTAGCAAACACTCCGGCATTTTTATCTGTCGAATATTGTCGCTTTTTTACAACTACGACAATGATCCGACGGGTGGATCCCTAGTCTTATGATGTGTCAACCAATTAGGCAGTGGACCGTATTAATTCGGATAAAGAAAGACATTTCTTCCATGTACTGCGAGCTAGGTAGTCCTGATGATTTGACGATTTGACGGTATGTGGTTCCGGCCTTTTTACCTACCCTACACTTTTTCGGACCCTAATGATCTACCAATGCACTGGTCATAACCAAAGTAAATGACTCAGTAGTTATAACGGTTGCAAACTAACCGCTGTAGTAGTTACGACTACTTACTACAAATTGTTGGTAATTACATGCACCTCAGGCACCTTTCACATTGCACATTCTAACATTTGTCTGATTGTGTAGGCGTTACTTTGACTGACGTTGCATGAGTAATGACAGCACTGCGAAAAACCAAAGTACAAATCTGTATGCGTACATACATATGTATGTATATCAGCATTTTTTTCATTTTTACTTAATGCTGAATGGCATAAACAAATCGGACTTCAAATTCAAGCTGACTAATAACTGACAATTGTGCTGTATTTATCAGTAATTGTGTGAAATTGCAGGTTCCTTAAAGATCAAATCGACTCGAAAGTGTTATGAAGTACCTCACACTAGAAATCTAAAGGAAAATGAAAAGTACTTTGACTACAGAAAATAAGTAGATATTCTAGAACACAAATTAACATTGAGCTGAGATCATCCAGTGACGACAGCCAATAAATAATGCATTGTATTTTACTTTGCAATGTTAATCGAAGTTGTTGAACTTTGGGTAATAACGGGTGTAGAAATTGCAATTCACAAACTACCCTGCAGGAAAATTTCATTAATCTGAAAGTAATTTATAAACTCTTAAAAATAGCTATTTTTCCCTTTTAAGTGGTTTTTTTCCAAATTTTCTATACGAAGTATACAAATAATGCATATTAGACGAGAGGGGGTTTCATCGCCTTTACAACGATGCCGATTTTTTAAAAATGGGTGAGTAATTTTTTTGTTTAAAATATTTTTTTTTATACAAAAAAAGGTATTTTTTTGCTTTAAAAGTGTTTTTTCTCAAATTTTTCTGTTCAAAGTATACAAATATGCATATCGCAAGAAATGGGGTTCAATCACCTTTACAACGATATGAATCGTTTAAAAATCAGTTCAAAATTTTCTGAAATATTAAGTTTTTAATTTTTCGAAGATCTGACTTTTGACCCGTTGTAGCACCTGTAATATAAGTTTCCACAAAAAAATTATACACCATATAAATAAGAGCAAAAGGCGGACCACGTCCGTATTTTTACTTTTTTTTACTTTTTACATGCAATAATTAAAAATAATTTTTTACCAGAGATCCAATTTCGAACTTCGAAGGCCCATATCTCGATTTCGGAGGCTAACTTCGAAAAACCGAGAAATTATTTTTTTACTTATGACTCAATATCTTAAAAAAAGTTGGTTTGGTCCAAAAAAATTTTGTGTGTCTTTAGACCTGAAAAATCCTCTATAGACCAGGTATTCACAATACGCCAAATCATGGAAAAGACCCGCGAGAAAACAATCGACTCCAAAGCCCCTTTCGACAGCACTAAAAGGAGTTGCCTATACGCCACGATGGTGGAATTTGGCATCCCCACGAAACTGGTATGGCTGTATAAATTGAAATTGAGCAAAACCACCTCTCCGAGCCGTTAGCCACCAACCGATGTTTCAGACAGGGCGACTCCCTTTCGTGTGATTTCTTTAATCTGATGTTGGATAAGAGCTGCATAACTGAACCGCTAAAGAACAACGCGATTGGGCCTGGTGGTCAACGAGGACAAGACGAAGTGTCTACTGTTGAGACGGCTCTTGCAGTATTCGAGATACCGATTTTGCCTTTACGCATTGGCGACGGCGAGTACCGCAAACGATGGAACGATGAGCTGCTGAGCTTTACAACGACATAGACATAGTGCAGCGAATTAAAATACAGCAGCCCCGCTAGCTTGGCCATGTCTTTCGAATGGGCACCGACGCTCCAGCTCTGAAAGTATTCAACCCAGGAATCCGCTGGTGGTATCAGAGCCCCCACTGCGATGGAAAGGCCACGAGGAGAAGGACTTGACTTGACTTAGCATTTCCAATTGGCGTCAGTTGGCACACAAGAGAAACGACTGGCGTGCTATTTTGTACACAGCAAGTTTCTGTTTAGATCACTCAATACACATTCATCGATTTGAATAACTCGAGACATTGCGAGAACTCAATAAGCTTGGAATATGAAAAATTGCGATAACTCAATTTGTGATGACTGGATATATGTACATATGTATTTCGATTCTTATCAATGAATATTCTTATTCTTTCATTTCTTATCTTTTCATTTTGGCCTTTATCTTGAATGTTTCCTTCACTTCATCTTCATCGCTTTTATCATTTCTTTCTTTATCTTCAAATTTATCCTTTTACAAAGTTTCATTTCAAAGGTGAAGTAAAACAAAATGCGAAAACCACTCAAATTGATTAGGTTGCCACAACAACAACTACGCACAAATACGGCATTTTTATCAATGATTTTGGCAGTAATTTTCAACCAGTTTTGATTCCATTAAAACTCTCCTCATTTACCTTTTAACGACCCCAAACGTACTAATATATGTATAGATTCTACCACGTGTACACGGAGTTAATTACACCATACTTGTAACTATCCGCCTTATGATTACGTGTTTTACGATTTGTTGTACTTGTAATTATACAGCACAACTGCATTATAATCAACTAATTTAAATAAATTATTTTTCGTAATTTCATGTTCACCTCGATTGGCTTTGCAAATAAAAACAAAAACAACAACAAAAGGTCACAAACAGTTGTTACGCAGCATCAATGGACAATTTCGAGCGCACGAGCTAACCGCTATTATGGGACCGTCAGGAGCGGGCAAAACTACATTATTGAATCTACTTGCCGGCTATGGGTATGTATTTGATTAATAAGCGCTACTGACTTTTAATTATATAGTTTATTTACACACCACCCACAAAAAGTGACTAACAAAAGCATTTGCATTTATTTATTTTTCGAATTTGTATGCTGAATATGTTTATAATAATTTTTACATACATACGTACTTATATGCATTTTTAAATATTTATGTGTGTATATTTCTATTGACAGCGCAAAGAAAACATCAGGCGAAATTATGGTTAACAATAGTCCGCGTAACATGAAAGTTTTCCGCAAAATGTCACGCTACATCATGCAAAACGATGTGCTGGATCCGCATTTTACGGTGCTGGAAGCGATGTTGTTGGCCGCCAATTTGAAATTAGGCAACGAACTGAATGGCGCACAAAAATTAGAAGTGGTGAGTTGAAAATGATGATGACTTCCTAAATGAAATTAACGGGGCAATACTGCAATTGGAAGCTCTTTTCTTTTTGCGGAAGACTAATTGAAAGATCTACTAACGGGAAGGTCTTAGCGTTTTTCTGTTTTCGTTTTAAAAAGCAGTTTTTTTTTTCATTAAATGAAATAAAAAAGTTAATTTTTTTAATAAAACTGAAACTTAACAGGAAGTTAATTTCAAAAATATATATATATTAATAAAAAAAGAAAAAATTAATAAAGAAAGTTTAAAAAAAAAAATACATAAAAACAACAATTATTTTTTAAACAAAATCTCAAAACTAAACGAAAATTTAATTAGGAGGAGAAATTTTATTTGAAAAAGGAAAAATGTTCCTAAAAATTAAATGAAATTACAGAAATTGTTTCTTAAAAAAAAAATTAAGTAACAATTAAAAGCAAATTAAATTATTAAAAAAAGGTTAAATTCAGTAAAAAAATTATTCGTCTAAAAAAATATAATCCAAAAATTAGATGAAAATTAAATTGAAAGAAAAAACTGAATTAATAAAAGAAACTAAATACATAAGTTACTGAAAACTGTACTAAACTAACAAAAAATATTATTTTGCAACACAAAATTCTAAAAATTTAAAGAAAAATTTAATTGAAAAAGAAAAAATTAAATTAATCTCTTAATCTTATCTAAAAACTAAGTTATATTAAAAATTTATTTTTCTTTTCAAAACAATAAAATTCAAAAAGAAATTTACAAAAAACTTAAATTGAAAACATAAAAATAAAAAATTTCATTAAAAATTTACATAATTTGCATGAAGTAAATTTTTAAAAACGAAATTTAAGAAGCATCCGTTTTTCTAAACAATTAAAGAAAACTAAGTTAAAAAAGTAGGAAAAGTAAATTTAAAAAGAAAAAATTAAATAAGTTCCTGAAAATTTCACGTAGCAAAAAAAGTATTTCTTTAATAAAATCTGAAAATTAAATAAGAAATAAGAAACAAAAAAGAAACAGGTTCATAAAAATTAAATGAAACTAATAAATATTTTTCAAAAAATTAAATCTAAAAATTAAGAGAAATTAAATTAGATACAGAAAACTATGCTCCACTAAAAGAGAAAAATTATTAAAATCAGTTTCTAAAACAGTTTTGAAACAATAAAAATTAAAAATTAAAAAAAATATTATTAAAAAATAAAAAAATTTAAATTAAAAAGGCAAAATAAGTTTCTAAAAATTAAACGAAGTTAACAAATATATATATTTCCTTTTAAAACAATAAAAATTGAATATTTAAAAATTAAATAGAAAAAGGGGGAAAAATTATATGAAATAAAACTTTCTCCCCTCGAAAAATCGAACGTCATATCTCCCGCCAGTGCTTTTCCCACTCGTTCATTGCGACTGTTAGAGCAGCATTAGGAACATACTCAAGTGCTTTCTGTCCAAAAAGCTTTTCAACATGAAATTGGGCAAGAGAGCTTTGTTTTTAAGGCAAATAATTGCCAAAATAAGCAAATATTTCAAACTATCTTCATTACTGTCTTTAAGTTGTCTTACAAAAAGCTTGCAGAATTGCTCTGTAATACCTATGTATATAACTTTCAGATCGATGAGATCCTTAGAATGTTGGGATTGAAAAAAGCACAAAATACAATAACATTACGGCTATCAGGTGGCGAAAAGAAACGTTTATGCATAGCCCTGGAATTGGTTAATAATCCACCAGTGATATTTCTGGATGAGCCAACTACGTAAGTTATTTTGAATATTTAACAGTTTTCCTTTATTTTATTGCAATTTCTAAATCTTCTATTTGCTTCCTCACAGTGGTCTCGACGACATATCCAGTTCTCAGTGCATTTCACTGCTTCGCGGCATTGCGCATCGCACTGGAGCTACCGTTATTTGTTCCATTCACACGCCGTCTGCCAAAGTGTTCAACATGTTCGATAAGGTTTATATATTAGCTGAGGGCCAGTGCATCTATCAGGGCGCAGGCGCAAATATTGTGCCCTATTTGAAGCAAATTGGACTGACGTGTCCGCGTACTTACAATCCTGCCGACTTTAGTGAGTGTCAAATTTAACGGCTATAATTTTTTTCTCTAATCTGATTGATTTAATAAAGTTTTTTTTGTTTTATTTATTATTTTAATTAATTAATTTTACTTCATCACATTTAATTTTGTTTCTGGATACTAAAACACTGCTCCTGGTTGGGAACCGTCTCTCATCCAGGGGCAACTTTTCTCAACAATTTAGGATGGTATTTCATAGATAGATTTTAAAAAAGAAGTGTCGACCTCGACTTAGTTTTCTATTGTGTCCCCTACTCTTCACAACTCTTCTTCTAAAGTTAAATCCCTCAGAAACTGCAGCAGGTCTTTCAGGGTAGAGAGTGTGGATGTACACATGAAAGAGCTCAGACTTTTTTCGTGTCTACTGCAAACGTCCTCACACTCAATTATAGTATGTATATAATGATGTCTCACAGTTCAAGCCGCAGAACCGACAATATCTTCTAAGGATATCTTTTAGTACTTCAAGATTCTCTTTTGGGTGTCTTTTTAGACGATCGAATCTCCTCATATTATACCCTCCTACTAAACTTTTTGGCAGTCGCAGTTCTGCTGACCTATGCCAGTTGAGATCCCACAAGTCGTTCTTCTGCTTCCTGATCCTATTCTTAATAGTATTATTGGATAGTCTTTAGTGCTGCATGGGTATCACTTGGGTTTATGATCCTCTCATTGCGGTACCTTCTATGTAAATTTAGCTCCGCACCGCGGTTAGCTTCCGTTTGAAAAATACTCACATAATTCACCATAGGAGCGGACATCTTGGTTCTAGGTCCGAAGATTCCTGTCCCTATTATTTCTGAAGCTTTCGAGCCGTCCGTGTACCAATGCAGGATGGTAGCCTGCTCAAGTCTTTCGAAGCAAGCGAAGCTCCAGGTTGCTTTGTTGTATAACAATATTTTAAACCTTTTGTTTAAAATTATGGTTCTACCTATGGAATCCACAGAAGAGGAGATATAACCACTCCCTGCAGACAGCCCTTTTTAGTTTTTAGTTGAACCCTGATGCCACCAACTTCATTTTCTATATTTTTCTGCGAACTCTAGAGTTTGGCATTCATATTATCAACAGGCTTTTATATTATGTGGAAGAGGGCGTTGTATGTATTCAAAGACGCCTTGGATTTCGGTTGCCAGCTGATACACGTGATACCATGTCTAGGACCTACCCGCTCTGTGTGCAACTTGACAAGAATTTCCTTCAGAATGTTTTATCTGATTTTATTATATTCTCTCCCTGCAAAGGAACTTGAGCTTATGGTTCTGAAAGACTTTTCTAGCAAATAAAAAAATCTACCCCCCCTATTATTTATGTTCGCTAGGCTGCTTTTTCAGTGCTGCCTGGATGTCATCTACCTCTGGAGCCTTTTTGGGCAAAGGGGCAAAGTACACAATCCTATATGGACTCAAAAATTAAAATTATTATTTTTTTTTTCATTTAATAGCCAAAATTGGCACTACTAAAGTCGAGGATATTACATATATAGTTTGGTCCCGATTGGAGTCGGTTAAGACGTCTTTATAAGGTAATCTGAATTTTGACACCTGTGCGACACGCCATAACCAGCTTGAATCTGGGCCAAGATTTTTAAGTGATATCTTCGACTATAGTATCTATTTTGGGTATGAGATGAACAAAAAATTATTTTAATTTTTTGAGTCTTCATAAAGGAACCTGAACTTTAATCCATGTGCGACACGCCTTAACCGTCTAAAATCGGGACCAAAATTTATATGTGATATCTTCGGGTATAGAAGCATCGACGTAGGGGTTGAGCCTTNTAAATTATTTTAATTTTTTGAGTCTTCATAAAGGAACCTGAACTTTAATCCATGTGCGACACGCCTTAACCGTCTAAAATCGGGACCAAAATGTATATGTGATATCTTCGGGTATAGAAGCATCGACGTAGGGGTTGAGCCTTAGGAAATCTGATGTAAACATTTGCTTCCTACATTTGAGGACCACCCTAATGTACATACTGCAGTTCTTTTCGTATTGCTCACCAATTTTTACTGTGTAAACTTGTTTCTATGATACAAGATTAATTTAATTTCGTTTAGTTTACTTAAATTTAATTAAATCTAATTTAGTTTAATTTAATTTCATTGAATTTAATTTACTTCAAAGTTATCGAAGTTGCCTGCCACGAATATGGTAATCACTACCACGAACCAATGGTTTCCGCTGTGGATAATGGCAAGGTTTACCGCTGGACGCCACAACTGCAATACCGCCAATTAAAATCTGATACAACAAATAAATCGGATACAACGTCCGGTGCCTCATCCTTTGATGAGTTGGAACAATTCGAAGAGGAAATAAATCCGAAATTGCTAAAACAAAAGGCGTCCTGGTGGATGCAGTATCGGCTGCTGCTGATGCGAATGATGGCGCAGATGTGGCGTGATAAGGTGTGTTATTTGCAAAATTGTGAACGTAAATTTTTCTAAGTTACCCACATTCAATACTTTGCAGTCCTACATGAAGCTCAAATTCTATATGAACATTGTGCTGGCGCTGATTGTTGGCGGCATTTTCAAAGGCATCGGCGATGATGCATCCAAGGCTTTGTTTAACTTTGGCTTTTCATTCACGATAATTATTGCATATTTATACCTGCCGATGATGCCAGTATTATTACAGTGTATGTGGAGCGTATTTCAAATAGTAATAACGAAATATTGCACACTTACTCTTGAAAAAAAAAATTGTTTATCTTTACCGTAAAGTTTAGTTTTATCTAATCTTGCTTTGCTCTCTCTTCTACAGTTCCCACAGAAATGAAATTCCTCAAGCGCGAATACTTCAATCAGTGGTATCATCTGAGTTCCTACTATGCCGCTCTGATTTGTTCCAAGCTGCCTTTTATGTTCGTGCTGGCCGTCATCTACCTCATTATGGTGTATGTAATGTCCAGTCAGCCGTTGGAGCTTTCTCGTTTTTGCATGCTCTTCGTANTCCTTTTTTCTCTCTCTTCCACAGTTCCCACAGAAATGAAATTCCTCAAGCGCGAATACTTTAATCAGTGGTATCATCTCAGTTCCTACTATGCCGCTCTGATTTGTTCCAAGCTGCCTTTTATGTTCGTGTTGGCCGTCATCTACCTAATTATGGTGTATATAATGTCCAGTCAGCCGTTGGAGCTTTCTCGTTTTTGCATGCTCTTCGTAATAGCTTTTCTAACCGCCATGACTTCGGAGAGCTTAGGTTTACTGATCTCATCACGTCTCAGCTTGGTGGTATGTAATTTCCGAGCACAAATACTATTTACTTACCATGCAATTATTATTCTCTTTGCTCTCACAGAACGCCATGTTCATGGGGCCTGTAATTGCTGTGCCACTTATTCTACTCTCCTGCTATGGCATTGGTTATGGCAAGGCTGTCTACATACATCCATTAATGCGCTTCTTGATGCAACTTAGTTACCTGCGTCATGGCATGGAAGGTCTTGTGGCCGCTCTTTATGGTTATAATCGCGAGGATCTGCATTGTCCAGAAACGGAGATATTTTGTATGTTTAAGAAGTCGGAATTCTTGCTTATGATTCTTGGCTTTGAGAATCTTAACTATATGTTCTCAGTATGCTGTCTGGTAATATTTTATATTACTTTTACACTCGCCGCCTATCTTATGATACGTCATCGTCTCTCGCTGAGAACGACCAACAATGTGATCATCCAGTATGTGACCCAATTCTTGGTGAAACACTTGAACTTTGCCTCTTACAACTACTAGCTGTGCCTACGTATTTACATTTTTATTTTTTATCTGCGTAATGCTGTTCTAAAAATATTTATTTTACTAACAAAATGGTTGAAAGGATTGTTAGAAGGGAGTAGTGTTTAGAAATTTTCATTAGTATAGCATTTTAAGAAAATATTTTTGATAAAATACTACATACTACTTAAATAGGATAGTATATTTACTTACTCGTATTTTGCCATAAAACCAAATCTTCAACTCGTGATCAATTTGAATAAATTTTAAATACAAAAAACATAGATACATACGTACATATATATTCATACATAAGTTTGTACTACGTGTATATTATAATTAATTAAGTACTTTTAAGCGAATATACTTTGTATATGCCTAACCCGGTGGATTACAGTGATATTAGATTTAATTAAAAATGACTAATAAAAATTCAATTTTATATGTATTAGAAGACCAAGTTTGTGACTCTTATATCACTAAAACCCTATTACAACATTAGTTAGACCGATTCTGAAAAAAAAAATTAAATAAAAATTCCGTTGGGATTCTCAATATAACCTTCCGCCTTATATGAGCCGATTAAAACTTATTAATCTTCCTACATTTATCAGTCGCAGCGAAATGCTTGGTACAATTTGTATGGTTAGTTTACTGACAGGCTCAATTTAGTCACGTTAATTTTTTAGCCTTTTCCGATTTTCCGGAATGTCGTTATCACAATTCCGGGATCCCGGTATTAGTCCCGGGATTTAGAAATTCATTACTTTTCAACAACATAAATCGCAAAAATTTGCTTCTATATTGTTTTAGAAGCTCTCCTACCATAAAATAAATAAATGTCTATGATAAAACTCCAAGCATTTTGACAGATTCCTTGTGGTATGTAACCAATTCGATTTCTGTCGTAGAAACAACGGTAAATATTGGCTTATTTTATGGTCAAATTTGAGCTTTTAAAGTGCTCTAGCAACTTATGATTGGCAGAGTTGTAACTTTTATTTTCGGTATAAAAGTTCTATGGAGCAATTGAAATATCATCATGTGCAAACTTTATATAAATTACGACAAATATTGAGCATTTTAAGGTCTTGAAAAAATTAGTAAATTTTTTTAATATCAAAATACTCGATATCTGCTCGCATGATTTTTTTTTTTGTTTTCTTTAATCACAAATTCAGGAGTTTTCCTTTCGTTTGATATCTTCTAAGTACGTTTATTTGATTGAAATATATAGGCATAAATGATTTTCCATACAAAAGCACTTCGTCATCAATTTTGCAAACACCTGCATGCGCTGGAAGTAAGAGAAGGAGACAAAAAGTACATATGTGTGTGTACATAGGTATTTCGGATTTTGAGTAAAAGATGCAGGGCCGTCGAGAAAAAACTCGGGCCCGGGACTAAAAAATCACGGGCCTCTATATATAAATTGTATGAATTTAACGCTCACCTCCGCCTTGTGTGAAATGTTACACAAAAAAAAATTTGTCAATACTTCTTTAAGCCTATTTTCTAACCGAAGTTCATAAAACTTCTTGACAATTCCTATTGAATCAATGTAAGTACCAGGTTGACCGAGATTTTCCCGGAGTACATATACTTTTTAAAGTTTTCAAGATCTGGATAGCCTTAAAAAATATTTTGGAAAAAATTGGATTTCGATATCTCTTAAGTAAATTTCTTACTCCAAAATTTAGATGGCAACCCTATTCCGAAATATGCTGTGATGAATGGTACATACCTTGAGCGTATATGTACTGTGTTTACATAAAAAAATTCTGATTGAAATTAACAAAATAAAAATTTGTATTATATAGCAGCGTGGCAGTCCTGATGGAAAATATTTTCTGAACAAAATTCTCAACACAACCATTCATTTGATATCCATATTGCGATGTTCTAGATAACTTGTGTATAATCGAAAATAAGTGGCAACCTTACACTATTATTCTAAGGGATAACATTTTGAATATAGGGAAGTATTATTTAAGAACTTTCTCTTGATACCCATGAATAGTAATATTTGACTTTTTTTCTAAACAAAAAATTAAATAAGTATGTTAATCAAAATAGGTGGCAACCCTATTAAACATATTTTTGAATTAGGAATCTTTAAAATACCTTCCTTTTGATACCCATATTACGATGTTTTAATTAATTTGTAACTAATTTCGAATGGGTGGCAACCTTATACGAGTCCTCTCGGAGATAGTGCCAAAATCGTTATAGCCGTTTCCGAGAACCCTATGTATATATATATATATACAATAATTGCTCGTTTAATGTAATAAGATGTAAATATTCTGAAATTGGATGCAAAAATATTATTTGTTTGCGAAATATTTTAAAACTTACGTTTCTTACCCTCGTGTGTGACTTTCCACACGTAAGGCAGGCAGTTCCTTGCATTTTCTGTATAAATTCGCTTGTTGTTCTTTCAATGTATATCTGTACCTGTAAATGTATGTGCGGATATATATACAAATAGATAGAAATATTTGCACGGTTTTGATGAAACTATCAGGAATGTACTGCAATTCACTTCCGAGTGAATTTCAACAATACTCGCTTTGAATCCGGAGTTCGGAGTTTGTGTTTCACTTTCCGAATTTTAAAGGCAGGTTCTACAATCCAAAAGAAAGAGGAAATAAAACTAAAAAATATATAATAATTTATAAAAAATAATAAAAATTAAAAAATTAAAATATTATAAATAGCTACATCTTGTCAATATATGAGTGTCGTATAGTTATGATAAGCACTATCGACTATGCACACATACGCCTACATATATGTACATCGAATTTTCTATTGAGAAACACATGGGGCTGCCTCGTGTGTGAAAAGTTACACACAAGGGTAGACCACGTAAGTTTTTTTAAGGGGGGATGAAGGTTAAAAGTATATGGCCCAAATCGCCGAAAACGAAACCGAGGGGAAACATTTTTTTTCAGGTTTCGCAGATTCTTAATTATATCTGGGTCATACATATTCTGAGATATCAGACAATATAGATATTAACACGGATCTCTTTCTCTCAAACATGAAAATTCACTTAATCCTGAGACAACTTTAAATTAATGAAAGTTAAAATAGCACAACATGAAGCTAAAGGGTAGTTTATTTTTAAGGCCACCGCTTTTTTTGCGATATATTTGCATGCTTTGTATTATTTTGAAGTTAATAAAAAACTGCTCGACAAAAAAAAACAGCGATCAGCTGTCTGTATGAAAGTGAAGTATTTTTTTTATGTAATGTAACGGTCCAAAATATTAAAAAGTTTTTTGGTTTTTATTGGAATTATTTCAAGTCTTTTTCTATTATTATTATTTATTTAATCTTAAAAATTAATTTTAAGACTAAAGGGAGAAGGGACTGAGAGCTAGCTGCTATAAATATTTTTTGATTTCAAAATAAAAAAACAAGGGTATATTTTTTTCGGTATAGAACAATCCTAGGGGGTGAGAGCATATAAATTCCGACTTTACTTTTGCACATGCATTTTGGACCACCCTAATGTACATATGAATGCATAATACGCGAAAACTTTTTCGTCATATAAAATATGTACCGTTCGATCGATTTTACAAACTGAGCTATGAAATTAAAGGGCTTGTCCTGTGAATGTGCAATAACTTCTTATTTTTTTCAAAAAGAGTTGCCACCTGATAAAAAAATTAAATTCAAATTATTTTTAAGTTAAGTCAATTATTACACTATGACTATCGATTGAATTGGTTTTGAAAAGGCTTTATTTCCTAATTATATGCGGGAGGGTTGCCACCTGTTTCAAAAAGCAAGTGCGACTTAAATAAAGGCAGAAAATTTAAATGTACATATATCCTGATATGAATTTCAGACAAAAGAGGTTGAGGTTTGAAAATATTTTGCAGAGGGTGGCCATCTTGTTACAAAGTTAGATTCAATATAAGCAATAGGTTATAGATCAAGATCTTTGAAGAATGTTTATTTCCAAACTGAATTGTTGCCACCTAATTTTATAATTAAATTCAAAAGTTTAACGAGGTTTTGGTTTGAAAATAATTTGAACAGGATTGCCATCTATTTGAAAAGTTGAATTAAATTAAATTATGTAGATAAATATTGAATATTTGGCGTCAAACAAAGGGGTATTAAGAAATATTTTCTTTGAGCATTTATAATATTAAATAGGCTTCCCACCTGTGTAAAAAGGAAAACTGGAATTATTTAATAAGTCAATTATTAAATTATGGCTATAAACTGTCATGGGTTATAAATGCTTTTTCTGAACTTTTTTTAAGAGCGTTCCCATATGTTTTAGAAATTAAATTCAACTTGAATCAATTTAAATATGTCGAATAAGGTTTGACAAGGTTTTGGTTTTAAAATATTTCGAATGGAGTTGCCAGCTGTTTTAAATTTAGAATTTAATTAAAGCATGCAAAAGTTAAATTAAACATTAAAATACGACGTGAAACGAAGGTGGTAAGATATGCTTAGTTTGAACATTTAGAATATTAAAGAGGGTTGCCACCTATTTAAAAATGTAAACTCAAATTCATGCAAAATTCATAGATCAACATTTTTCCATATTTCTTAATATGCGGCAGATGCAACAAATTTCGTACGGGCTTTTTAGTTCTGCAAGAGAGTGTACATATGTATGTTTGTATAAAGAATAAATAAATATTTAAAAAAAAGGATAGTAATATGGGCAATTAAATTGGGAATTAAAGACAAGCGCCATAAGCCATATAAAATACATACATACATACATACGTCTGATTGAAAAAAAAAACCGGTTGAGCGACTAAAAATTGAGTTTCAATAACCGAGAATCAATATGAGCAAAGCGGCTCATAATTTTATTTGTTTACTTTTGTTTTGCATTCATAAAAACGTCAAGGACATCTTCTAGATATTTATTTATGAAACTTTCATATGTACTGTACATATTCGTATTGAAATGAACACTCTTATATACTAACTTTTTTCCATGCAAATATTGACAGGTAAGCAATTTAAAGTTTCCACTGTTTGCGCCCTTTTTGGCGGGATTCACTAGAGGTATTCCATAACAGACTTGCAATCAGCCTTTTTTTTAACTGTACCTAAAAATTGTATAGGCTTCGTAATTGGCTTATCAGAGACCCTTAACGACCCCGCTAATCTGGTTGGTGGCACTTAACGACAATCTACTATTACCCAAAATAGGAGGAGAGAAGGTAGTAGCATAAACAGATGATGTACTGGTGACATTGTCCAGTGGTCTATTTTGTCTCAATGGTTAACGTAGTCATAGCAAAGGCTCTGTTCAGACCACACTCGTGGTATGTATGACTTTTTTGTCATTCCGAGAAAAAAATGGAGCTGATGCTGTTTACAACAATTCAGTCTCACTTTCCTTAATGGATTGACTCGCAGATTGTCCACGGAGGCACGATATCTGGCAGTTGTTTTTAGGCACCAGACGGAGCTGAAAGACAAATGTCGAGTGCGGAAATACGCTTTCCACGCTTACACTAGCTTTTCGAGTTTCCAGCATTGGCAACTAAAAGTTTTAAGATATGCAAATTCTTTATGAAAATCGTATGGTGAGTTTTTAAATTCACCGTGGCGTTTAAGTCAGTCAAGTTATAACACAAATTAAGCCGCCAATTTTAAGACGCATCCAAACGGCGAATGGTTTTATGAGCAACTTTATCAAGGCTGAAATACGCCCGAAGGTTTGCCGCCAATTTTTGAAGTCCTAATTATGCGTTGACTGTAATGCAGTTGACCTTCGTACTCTGATTGCTGCGTTGTCCATGTTAAAAAGTGTTCGGATTAACGCGACATTACTGTACGTTGAAATTTTCAGATTGCAGTATATGTATGTAGAACGGCACTATTAAATAAAATAAATAAATAAAACAAAGGGCTATAAAAGCAAGACAAGGGAAAAAGAGAAAAAATGGCAACCAAATAATGGCATAAATTCATGTCATGCATTTAAAAGAATCCGAGTGCCAATAAGCAAAACGGTAAATCACTTACATTCCCAGGAGTCGCTTAAGTTTAAATACCCACTTCGATGTAGATATGATATTGAAAACAATTAAACTTGTTCTTAACAGGCAAGTAAAATACTTACGCCGATTGAAGCTTTGCTACCTACCTACATATGTACATATGTCCGTCGGCATCAAGATATGAATGTCCGTGAATTGTTTTTTAAGTAGTACGAAACTGCATTTCCTGAGTTTAGTAGTGCGCAGGACATTCAACGGTTAAGTGCGTGTAGTAAAAAATATTAAATTTTGCAAGTTCACGATATTTACCGAATTGTTTAAAAATCTTGCGAATGTAGAATATTCACTAATAGCGTTTTTTTTTTATTAAATTACGCAATATGAAGTTCTTTGTTTGTTGCTTTTTTTATACCGCCAGTGTACTTGGTTAGTATAAAAAGTGTTTGGAGAAATTTGTAAAAATTTAAAGTAGATTTCTACAAACTACAACTACAAGTGATCCTGCGATTGTCCCATAATTAAGTTGGTTAATAGTAGCCAAAAGGATACAACATGAAAATAAAATAATGACCAACCGATTGTAACCAGTGCTGTATTTGAAAAAAAAAAATGTTATTTTAATTCATCTGCAACTTTCAGTTGAGCTTTTTGTTTGAATGAGCAACATCTCCAATGCGGAAATTACTAGCATAAATTCCGTTGCCTATGTTCCTGGAAAAAACTTGATTTTACACGATTTAAAGCTTTCGTTGCTTAGCTTATTTGAGTGATTGAACTTTTAAAGATATACACTCGGTTTCACTGCACTAGGTGCGTAAGGTGCGAAATTTAAGAAATTTTTGGTTTGAGAACTGCATATAAGGATAGAGCTGCCGGGGGTCGGGGGTGTTGTGCATTTGTTTCCAGTGAAAATGTTTTTTTTTATCTCTATTTATTATGGTTTATGCAATTCCGTTTTTGTTTGTATTACAACAGAGCATCAACTAAGTTTTCCTTTGCAATTGAACGAGATTACAAGTGTAAAGATGATTTGAAAAAAAGCAGAGTTTGACTATACCTTTGGAAAGAATGAAGATTTTTTTTGCTGGGTCCCCGTTCGAGTCCCAGCAATTATGGCAGCCCTATACAAGGGCGAATTGTTGCGAAGAAAAAGGAAAAAGGTCCAAATAATATGGAACCTGTAAAACAAAAATACTAAAGAAAATAGCAGAAAGTCCAATGTGAGATCAGCAATTACCCTGCAAACCAAACTTCCCGAAATCTTAAGGAAATCGCTAGGAGTATCTCATTTCTGTAACGATTTTCTTACGAATTTTCAAAGAAAATTATATTAAGTGGTTGACACGAACTCGTAAAGAAATTTCTGTACGAAAAATAAAGAAAATTCTGGAATAATTCTGAAAGATATTCTTCACATAGCAGCATTATTTTCGTTGCTTCACAGATTTTCTTCCGAAATTTCGCGAAAGAATGGAGGTGTGCGTAATTTATTTCATTTAAGAAAATTCGGCAAAGAATCTAATTAAATCTTAACGAATTCTTTAAAATTTCTTTACACTGCAGAATACTCTGAAAAAATGGTTTGCAGGGTAATAAAAGAAAATGGTATTCATGCCAACACAACGAAGGTAAAGAATACAGTGATGGAAATAGGGACTTGATACCTAAAAAAAATTTCCTTTTTTTTTTTTGTTTGCTTAATATTTATTATTATTTTATGAAAGTATACTTCATTATCTAACAAAAACCATATAAATTTACATTTCAAACTTTGTGCAAAAATTATAAAAATTCTGCAAAATTGCTCTAAATTTTGAACTTTTTAATCAGATTTTAAAGAATTTTTTTGAGTATGTAGCCTTATAGCCAATTAAATTTTAGTAGAATAAAGTGCAAGTCTGAAGTTCGTAAAAAATCGCGTTGATTTTTGATAATTTTTATTCTCTATGTATTACGCACTTCTTTCCATAAAAAAAAAAAAAAACAAATGGTCGAACATACTTTTTATGGAAAAAAATACATTGAAAAAATTGCCACAAATGAACGCGATTTTTTAGAAACTTAAAACTTACTAAAAAATCTAATTAAAAAGTAGAAAATTTAGATGCATGTTTGCAGAATTTTTATAACTTTTGCACAAAGTTTGAAATATGAGTATATGTTTTTTGTTAGATAACGGGCTGTTCTTATAAAAAAATACTAAGTATTAAATAAACAAAAGACAAATAAGAAAAATTTGTTAAAATGTTGTGTCTATATTTATTTTTCCACCACCGTATTTCTAAAGCGATTTTGGCCGAGCACGCCAGTACTTTCTCTTCTGTGCCAACTGACGCCCATTGGAAATGCCAAGTGAAGCCAAGTTCTTCTCCACCTGGTCTTTACAACCCAGAGGAGGCCTTCTTCTTCCTCCTTTACCAGCATCGCGACCCGGGTTGAATACCTTCAGAAGTTGGGCGTTTCGGTCCATTTATACGACACGACCAGCCAGCGTTGCCGCTGGATTTTAATTCTTTGCACCATGTCGTCATTATTGCAGCTTCATTCTTAGCTTAACACTGCATAGAGCACACGCGTCCTTTTTTACACCAATGCACGCGTGGCCTACTATAGTAGACCATTTTAAAGTGTCGATAAATATTTTTTAGATAACATTTAAATGAAACTCATAGTTAAAAACATATCTTCTGCTGAGTGGAAGATCGATCTATCTCGGCAGACAGTTCGAAAATGCTCTATCTCTTCTAAATTTCAAGAAAATGAAGACGGAAAAACTATTTCCTAACATCTGCATGGCATTACGAATGTTTTGCACTATTCCAGTCAGTGTGGCTGAAGAAGAGCGCTGGCTCAGTCTGTTGTCTCGAGTAAAGAATTTGTTGCGTTCTACTGTGGGCTAAAGTCGATCGACCAGTCTTAGAACATTGGCATTGGAATCCAGGCATTATATTCTCAATAAGAGAGAGCTAAGGTTAATGGTGCTAGTAAATGGTATGGTTAATGTTAATGGGAATGGTAAAGTAATTGTTATTGGTACTACTTAATACCATATGTAGTAATAAATGGTAAACTTTATGACAATTGTTACGGTTAAAACAATGGCTATAAGAGTAATGGCTTAACCATTGTCATTACAATTTTCGGGTCAAATGTAAAAAATTCATTGTATATGTATGTATATAATTTGCTACCTATTACGTCATGACAAATCTAAACAGGGGTAACTTTATTTATATATATGTGTATAAATTTTTTTTTATTATACTGTAAAGAAGCAAAAATGTTAAGACGAATTTCCACTAGGATTTCAAATGACAAAAAATTTATGCCATTTAAAAAATGCCATGTGGAAATTAACTTAATGACTATTTTTTTAATGTAATTACACAATTATTTTTTAATGCCCGATTTTGTCTTTTTTGCCATTTAATGCCTAGTGGAAATCCAGCATTAGATGGAGTCTTTCTACATTTGTATAACAAGGTTTGAGGTTAGATCAGAACAGCGGCATTGAAGACATTATTTCATCAGTTCTTCTACAAAAATCATACAATATTACATGCTTGACCTTGTAAACACTATTTTTAACCACCACGTTTCATATTAACAATGGCGCAGGCACGTGCAACGGTTTCGCTAGCAACAAATGAAATTCTTATCAAACAATGAAACCAAAGCATATGTGAAAAAATTTTGAATTTTTGTAATTAGTTAATTTAATAAAGTACTTGTCGTAGTCATTTAAGCCTGTGCGTGGCCAATTGATTAATCATCCGAAGGGCCGATGTTCCATTTCGCATGTAAACCCATGACACTAGTGATGCACAGTGCCGAGGAACCGGTCCGAAGAACCGGGACCATTAATGAACCGACCGGTCCGAGCTTTTCAAAAGCCGAAACTCAATTCAAAAACCGAAGCACGATTGCTAAAGGCCCAAAAACAGTTTAGAAGAAGATTAAAAAAATAAGTCCAAATAACTGAAAAACCATTACAAAAGTACCAAAAACGGTTTCCACAGAATCGAAAATATTTCCCGCAGGAAGCAAAACCGCTTTAAAAACAGACGAAACATGTACAAATCTCTGCTTTAACTGAAGCGCACATTGCATTTTGGACAACAAATTGATTTCATTTTTGGCATAAAGTCTAAATATGAATATATTAGCCCGAAATTCTGAGTTGACCTACCCAATTTTGTATGGCTCGAGGCACTATGTCATAGTCACTTCAATTCAATACACTTCACTACACTTACTTCATAACGAAAATTCAATAAAGGACTTGTATTTTTGGAAAAAACTTTTAAGAATCGTTTGTTTAGCTTTTTCAAAATGGCCTATTTACGTTAAAATATTTCGAGAGCCGGAACCGGTCCAAATACCCGGTTTTCCTTGGAACCCGACTCGATGGAATCGGTTCTTTAATTACGCGAAACCGCACATAATTACGTGACACCAAACTAGGGTTGCCAACCGTACTATAATTATAGTATTGTACTATTTTTTGGGTCTGCGTACTATATACTATTGGAAAAAATATAGTATGCAAAACTACTATATTTCTTCAATTATAAATATACATATATTTGTGTATATATATATATATATATTTTTAGGTAATTTGTAAGAAAGAAATGTTTTAAAATTGATGACATTTATATTTCAATATTAAAATAGATATACTTATAAAAATACTTAGAAAGATTTACCAAATTTACTTAAAATTATTTCGCTTATGCTCTCTATTCCTGCTACTGCGGCATTCACAGAAAGAGTTTTTCCGATTAAGATTTTGAAATGGTGAGATAAGAGAAATAAAGCGACTATCTCACTAACTGATTTATATTAATTTAAATATTGTTAGCGATAAAGCATATGATACTTTCAAAGAAATATATATTTTTTATAGAGGAAATGCATAAGAAAGAAAAAAGATGTACACTTGAAAAGCTTTTTTACTTTTTCTTTAAACAAAATACTATATATAGTTGGAATGTACAATATATTTCAGATATTTTTTTTTAAAGTACTATAAATTTCTTAGAAAATGTTGGCAGCCCTACACCAAACTGATAAGGAAAAAAACAATACAAAACGCTTTTAAAACCATGCCCATGAAATTGAATTAGTTTTGCGAAAGATAGGGATATTCGGCCTAAAGCTTTTATTAATTCTAAGCTCACTTACCCGTTATCATAATAACTAAATAGTGCTTAAAGCGATTTTTTTTTTTTGTATTTGAAGTGATAAGGAATTGAAATTACTGAAGTATGCTTAATTAAAATTGACTAATTCCCTTGCATAGGTTATTATAACAATCTTCGTAAGCTATTAGTAAGCTTCTAACTATATTCTCAGGAATTGGGTGATTCTAGTAATGTTATGTTACAAATTTACACAAATACGATCGGTTACAAGGTTATCACTTTATTTAGTTCACTAGTAACGCAGATAAGCGGGATTTTCGAATGTTTTTCTTTTTTCAACTTTCTTAAAATAAGGGACTAAACTCAATAATCTCTTAATCGCTTAATATTACAAATGCAATCTTCAAATTCAGTAAACCGAGACTGAAAAGCTCATTAAGCGTGGGTTATACTTACATACAGGGGTGTAATTCTACTTCGCATTGAGCGCATAATCTCCCAGAATCAGCGGTTCAGTGTAATTAGTTTGTCTGTTCCAGTACTCCAGGATTTAGTTAGAAAGATATAACCGAAGAAAGTACATATATTCATAGCCTAAATGAAGTCGGCATTAAAGTTAGTTGCTGCTTTTTATCATAATTTTCAATGGAATAGCAGCAACTAACTTTATAATCGACTTTATTTCGATTATGAATATGCGCCAATGTATTTATACGAACGAATCGCAGTAAATATGATGGGCACTGGAACAAACTAAGGGCCAGTTTCACAATGTCTGGTTAACACTAATCTCCGGTAAAAAATCGATTAATAATAAATAATAAAGAACCAATTTGGAATAACATTTTTTTATTTAAATATTTGTAACCGACTTCAAAAAAAGAGGAGGTTACCAATTCGTCGAAATATATATATTTTTTGATGTATGTTACTGCATAAGTTTGGACTACGTGCATGGGCGTTCAGTAAAATTTCATAAAAGCACGAAAAAGCACGAAAAACCCCGTTTCCTACAAATTTAGATAAGCTTTTGTTTTTATACAAAAATTTATAGTATTTAAAACTCTTTAGTAGTTTTGTTTACATATCTGTACATAAAATACCTTCCACATTTTCTACTTCCCAGAAAATGTATTTTAAAATTGATTCGCTTAAGTAAATATATGTACATACATAAATACAAAATTTAAAATATGTACATATGCATACATACAATAAAATTTGGCTCTTTATTTCCGTCGAGCCGTGCCGGGCAGGGCCCCACTGACATCTCTTCTTACAACTATAGGTGGTGGGTGACAGATGGTTATCATTGGCCACTACTTTTTGAATCAATAATTACTTGTTTTTTTTTTTTCTAAACGTGCAATTTTAAAATACGTGCAAACATTCTGGTCTATTCAGGGCCTTATGGCCGTCTGACTGTCCGAGTAAATGCTAACCTCCCTAACTGACGACACACTTTTTAGCAGTGAGTCTACCGCTTCCTCAATGGCAGCTATTTCCGCCGGAAAGACACTGCAGGAGTGCAGAAGACACATCCTCCAACACTGCCTCCAAGTTTCGATCCGTCCGTGAAGAAGTTTACCGCTGCAATCTTCCAGTAACCCCGCCTTGCCCAGTCCTCTCTTTAGGGAATTTAGGCAGAGAAGAAGCTGCTGGGCGCCATTCCAGGGGCGCAGTAATCTATCTGTTCAGCGACGAACTCAAAGACCTCCAAAACTCCAGCACACAACTTCGAGCCAGCTAATCACCAGATTTACCAGATTCAGCATAACTTTAAGCGCCATTGTAGGAGTGGTTTATAGTGTCACTCAAAACTCAAAATTCGTTCCCTGGCCACATTATCTGCATTGGCGATCACCCGACAGGCTACTTTTCCCAGTTTTTCCAGAGTCATTTACGACCTCGATTAAATTTTTTTTTTTTATATTCACGGCGATCTAAAAATAACAATTTATTAAACTCAATTAAGAAAGGAATTCATTAAGTATCATAATTATGTATGTAAATGTATACATTTTATTCAAAGACATATTTCTTTTTGGACTTTTCTTTACATGTATCCTCACATACTCGTATTTTAATGTCACTGCATTTACTGCTTCTCTCCTCAATGACTCACTCCACCATCGCTTGAGCAGCGTTCAATGAATACAAAATTTCAAAATTTCAAAACCAGTTGGGTGATTGTGAACCGTTTACAGTGGAATTCATAGCGGGACTTGTTACGAAGAAGGCACGTCAAATACTTGATCCAGGATCACGTCCACGCCAAAGGCAATTAAGATACGATCTGTTTACGCGGTTGAATCCATACAAACGGGAAGTACTGTTAACTGGCGACCGCAATCGGCTGCTGGCCTCTAACTTTAATGCCAGCTGGCCAGTCAGGTAAGGTTAAGTCAATACGGAAAACAACAAAATTTAACTGGATACATAGTGATGATTCATACTCGTGAACTTGAACTTGTCGTGTGATTCCTGCAGTAGCAGCAGAATGCATGCAATTGCTTTTTTTTCTTACCATTTTTTTTTTGCTTTATTCCTTTTTTCGGTTACTAGATTCTCCATACACGGCTGGAATGGTCAAACGACTACATGTTCGAATGCTGCCATCAAAGATGCCTACCTCGCCAAGGGTGATTACAATGTAATTCTAGTTGACTGGACAGATTATTCGCTGGACATCAATTATATACGTGTGGTAGCGGAAATTTTCGAAATCGCTCGCAAATTCAACGAATTTACACGTTTCCTGCAGAGTCACACCGCCATACCGTTTAGTGAAATGTACTTAATTGCGCATAGCGCTGGTTGTCACATAGCTGGTGTGGCTGGAAAATTACTACAACCAGATAAGTATGGCGTCATCTATGCACTGGACACTTCCGGGCCCATTCATCGCAGATTGGATGACAAATGGCGACTGGCGCCAATGGATGCCCTCTATGTCGAGTCCGTGCAAAGTGATGTGGCGCTCTTTGGTTTCCCCACCGACAATCTAGCACATGCCTCCTTCTATCCCAACTGGGGGCTAGGTCAACCGCATTGTCCGAATGTGACCACAATGGAGCCGGACTTTACCTGTGATCATTTTGGCGCCTTGTATTATTTTGTGGAGTCTTTGCGGAATCCGCGGGCTTTTGGTGCCATTCAATGCAAAAATTATCAGAGTATAGAAAGCTACAAGTGCGATTGCGATGCGGCACAGTGTACAGCGAGTGCCTATATGGGTGGTGATCCAGCTGTACCAAAGAAGGGCATCTTTTATTTTAGCACACGGAAGACAATGCCTTTTGGTTATGGGGAGATATGTAGAATGAAGAGACCGATTAAACCGACTATAGTGCGGATACAATAATGGAAAATGTTGTTAAAGAAGTTTTCATAACTTTATATCCAGGATCAATTTCTTATCGGTAGCTGTAATAAAGACACATTGAATTTTATTGGAGAAGAAAGTATTAAATACTTATACAAACATACGCGGTTCAGATTTTCAAATACATACAGTACTCTAATTTGTAGAGGAATCGTTACGTTTATGTTTAAATTTTAAGTTTAAATAGGTGGCAACCCTCTTCAATATAACGCTTTTTTAAACATATTTCGTTTTACATACATATTACAGTATTCCACTAAAGTACACTAAACACTACACTAAATACACTTAATTACACTTTTAAATAGGTGGCAACTTCTTTTCAAATATTTTCGACAAAAAAACCGTCTTCAACGTCTTTTGTTTGATTTGACGTAATTTTGTAATATTTCAGTTAACCTATTAATTTAGTTTAAATTGACATTCAAACAGGTGACAACCCTTTATAAAACCATTTTCGAAACAAAGCTTTCTCATGCACGTTTCGATTGGCATGTAATACTTTATTTAACTTATGAAAATATAGGATTTTACTTTTAAACAGATGGTAGTACATTTCAAAATACTTTCATTATAAAGATTTCTTAAACCCCATTTATTAGCCAGCCATATTTTAACAACGAAGTATTATTTATTAATAACATTTAATTTAAGTTTTAAAATAGGTAGCAATGCTCTTCGAAAGTTTTCCTAATAAAGCCTTTTTTAAACTTTTGTCATTTCGAATGCACATAATTGGAAATATAACTTTACTTCGCAATCAGGTGGCAATCCTATCAAAGAAAAAATATGCTGTACATTAATCAATGTGATAAGCTGTCTCCATAAGCTATCTCACAAACGTTCACATCTACAATAGGTCCATTCAATAACTTTCCCAGTAAGTACTTGCAGCGAGAGCGTAAAAGAAAAATAGAGAGTAAAATTGAGAGCAAGAGAAAATTTTCAGAAAAAGTTATTGAACGCAAAACTAGTAAAAACTTGCAACTTAAGCCATTTTGACACTTTCTGACGGTTGAGTTTTGGGCGCGCAATTTTCTTTTTAATTGAGGATAGTTCCCATCATCATAAAAATAAAAACATATACTATAGATTTGAATTTTTCATCCCAATTTTCATTTCACTAATAACACCGTGCGACAGTCAATTTTACATACGAAAAAATTAATATACATAAATACAGAACTGGGGGCCAACTATAGTAAAACTCGATTTCGAAGACTAACTTCGAAAAACGTAGAAATCACTTTTTTACCTATGACTCAATCTCTTAAAAATAATTGGTATGGTCCAATACGCAGCGGAATGCTGTACAGTGTAATGATTCTAGTATTTTCGTTTACATATATTGTAACTATCAATATCTTATTAAGAGAAGTTTAAAATTTGTTTATCTAAATTTAATAAAGTTAGATGGACGAAATTCGAGGATGTGGTAGTTAACATATTAGCCCTTGACATATATTTTTTTCAAAAATAAATATTGGAAATTTCCAAGGATATTCAAAATTAAAGTTTTAAAAGGACATGGTGGCAACTCTAATCGAATATATTATCGAAATAGATACAGATTTTATAAAGCTACTCTCGTTTGATACCCACATTAAAATTTTTCGTTTAACTTATTAATTAAACTTGTTACGACATCTTGAACAGGTGGCAAGAAAGAATATTTTCGAAATAAATAGTTATTGAATCGCNCATATTTTCGAAATAAAACGTTTTGGAATCCCTTCATTTGACACCTACATCGTAGTAATATTTTAGTTAACTTATTTATTAATTGATTTTAACACTCAGAAAATATGCTTTATGTGAATCCAGGTTTTAAACTATCTTTATGCCAATTTCACACACTCACTTACAAGCTTCCACATTAATAACATTAGTATGAAAGTAGGATTAAAATTAAATTTTAATTTCTCTATCATATTTTCAGATTATTTACGATATTAGGTTTTTCGAACATACAATTTCATCGTTATTTTGAAATTTTAAATTAATAGAATAAAGAGTGTTTTTTTTTTTTAACTCGACGACCAATTCACGAACGCAATTTAAGTGAAGATGATTTTATTTTTTCTTTTTTTTATATATGGAAATTGAAATAAAAAATCATTTTCAGTTTAAATTGCTGGTGAATTCGGCTGTAAGGCATCTATACACTAAAAAATGTTATTTTAAAAACGAGAAAAAATATTTTTCAACAGAAAATAAAATTCTTAGATTTTCTACATCAACAAGTAATTTTTAACCAAAAGAAAACAACCGACTTCAATTCTCATATAATAAAAAAAAGTTACGGTTTAAAAACCTAAAAACTCGCTTTTATAATTTCCATTCGTACTGTCATCAGGTATGTAACTAGAGAATGGAAGTCGCTGCATCTTTTAGGCGCATCAATATTAAATAGTTGCATCCAAAGCTAATAAAAGCGTGGTAAAAATTTAAGAGTACCGTTCATTTATTTATGACCCAATGCTCGGATCTAAATAAAAATAGTATGGGACCACCTCTGAGATACCACCTTTCCTTTAAAAAAAAAAACAGTTATCGAAATCGGTTAACGTGGACCAAAGTTATGCGGTAACATACTAATTACAATTTATGAAACTCCAAAAAAATGTATTATCCGTCAAAAGTTTTTTATTGAAACTACCTTCTTTTTTATATCATGGTAAGAAATATAGAGATCGGTTATATTTCGACAAAAAAGTAAACTTATATGTAATACCTAAATAACCGAAGTTGAGAATAGGGCGGCTGGTACTAGAGGACCTAGGGCGACCAAGACTGTAAATTCGCCACTGTATGAAGGGTATGATCCCTTCGGCATAGCCGAACACAGCAGCGTCCTTACTTGTTTCGATAAGGTTTTTCATCAGCTATTCGATGTTAAATCGGCCCATTCGAGGGAACATGAAAACTCAAAGAACTGCATAACTTTCTATGAATGCCGTTGATAGCTTCTCTGTACGCCGTCGGGTCCCCTGATTGTTTACTTAGGTCTAGACCGTGTCCTTTTACTCGAAAAGATGCCTGCTGACGAGTAGAAGTCTCAACAATGACTTAATCGGGTGCTCGCGTCTGTAGCACCCTACCAAAAACTGCTTGTTGCACGGAGAGCAGGATATTGAGGCCACATTAGAAGGCATCCTTTCACTGTCCGGAGTGCGAAGTTTTAACAAGTCTGGAGCTTCCTTCACTGCGTTGAAGTTGTCCACCGCAACCAAACAGACGCAGCATAATTCCGAAACGGCCGGCCAATTGCATTGTACGTTGCCAAAAACAGCTATTTGATGACCTTATTGTGGATTTGTAACCTCAGTACTTTCGGGTTGTTCACCGCCGGAATTGATATGCCATCGACGTGAATGCCTAATTGAAGCCGGATCTCCTTGGTACAGGTGGTGGAGGATGGCCGTTGATTTCGTCGGGTAGAAGGTTAGATTCCGTGTAGTGAAGATCAGAGAGTTCAGAGTAGTAGCCGCTTACTTTCGAGTAGAGGTCATAAATTCCGTTCCCGGACGCCAATATCGAACAATAGTCAGCATATGAGATCAGGGAAACTCCCCCCGTTGTACCCTTGTTTTTTCTAAGTGGTTTAGAAGTTTAATCTCGAAAGGTTGCTAACGACTTCCAACTACTCGGATAATTCGTCGACCACCGTTCCGGTGGGACAGAAGAAGCCTCAATGCTTTCTAATAATGAAGGATGCAGCGTAAATTGTCGAAAAAATTACTCCCGAATTTCTTCGGGTATGAGGCGTCAGATTGGACAGGGACTTCACGGTTGACCAGAGCAAAAAATTGTTCCACATGTGTTCATTTACCAGTTTCGGAATCTCCAAGTTCAGGTATTTTATGCGGGGATCCCCGGGATCGACCTGGCCTAGGTAGTCACGCACATTTCCGAAAACATCCGCATCTGCCGGAAAGTTTGGGGCGGACTACCGCGATACATCCCGACAGAATGATTCGAGACGCTGCAGAAGTGACTACCTTGCGGAACTGACGTTCGCCAACGAGTACGTGTTTGGGTGTGGGAAGGGAAGCGAAGGTGCTCTCAGTAACTCGGTTGATCGAGATGACTATGGGTAGTTGGTCCTATGCGAGTGTTAGCATAGGCCACCACGTTATGGTGTTTATCAGATCCGCGCTAGCAGAATGTCACATCGTACCTGTGTTCAGAAATGTACCAAGCCAAAGGATTATACATATGCCGAATTGGAACTTGGTTGCGCAGATAAGCAATTTCCATCAATTTTAGTTTAGATACTGAGTCCATCTGCTCACCCAATAGGTATGATTATTTTCCAGGCTTGAGTGCCAAAGTTTATGATGCGCTTTAAAGTCACTTGCCACAATACGGTTGTAACCCCTGAGGGTGACGGGTAAACAATGAAAACTTCGGTTCGACATCGCCTGACCGGACAACTATGTCCTAACATTTTAGGTTGGTGTCCCTGTACTCTTCAATGAGACGATATTGCACAATGTGATGTGGGATGAGCGCTAGACCTCCAACATTGCCTCACTCGCGATCTTCGTTAGCTGGGTGGGGTTTTCGGGGCATGCGAAGAGGTGCCGTAAATCATGTGGCGACCCTCCGCATGCCGGGCACTCATTGGGCAAATCTGCGCTCACTCTATTTACGTACGAGTTTAGCCTGCTGCAGTATCCAGAGCAAAGTTGGGCTGTTGGACCTCTGGACTTCATCCGTCAGTTCGTACAGATGCCTCCTGACGTCTCCTTGGCGGGGTCTCTTCTTCAAGCAGTTGTCTGTTCGGCTGCCCGCGTCTGCGGCACCCTATTAAGAACTGCTTGCAGAGCATTGTGTTACGCTCCTTGATGGGGTGATCTACCTTGGTGTTGTTGCGCTTGCTACAGCGGAGGACGTGGGGAGTTTAGTTATTGGTCATGTGAGCTCCTTGGAGCCGAGGGACGCTTTGGGTACTGCTTCGCACCCGCGAGTTTCGCGAGTTGGGGGTTGTGTAAGCAGATGGTGCCGTTGTGGTCCACTCCCTGGACCTAAAGCTTCAGCTGGTTCTTAATACCTCCATCCGTTGCACCTAACGAAGTGGAGTTTAGATGGAGTCGTCTATGGAAGACGCAGCAGAAATAGGTGTCTGGTCTGGGGCAGGACTCAATGGCCGCGCGGAGGAAACAGCCCTTGGTCGGGAAAAGCCCAAGTCATTCCGGTACCTTGAACCAGCTGTCATGAGTAGGTTGTCTAATACTATCGACGGCATAGAACGCCAAGTTATGCTCTTTATCAAGTCACCGCTAGCGATTTTTGTGTTCGACGAGCTGCTGCTGTTACCCATTATTCTTGTGGGGAGATCTTCGTGCATTGTTAAAAAATGTCGAACCAACTATCTGTACTACCAATTCATATCCCATACGATAATTTAGGAGACTTGAATCGTATAGTAGGTGATGCGCTAAAGGGCGCGTCTGAAGACCAGAACGAGTTTTAAGCTGGCTCTATGCGCTGCAGGTGCCACACCTAACCGACGTGGAGCTCGGTTGGAGACTTTTTGGCAGACGCAGCTGAGATAATCTCCTGGTCCGGGCTTGGGCTTGATATCCGCCCTAATCCGAAGGATCTGGAGCAACCCAGCTGCTCCGGTATTAGACAACTCCCAATGGGATTCACCGATCTAAAAATAAATTGCTAATAATCCTGAAAAAATTCCAAAATTCACTTGCCAGTGCTTATCACATTTATTTGCCGTTAATTTTCGCTTCTATTTTTTTATTAGTCATCGTTTACAATGTTCAGTTAGTTTTATGTAATACACTTTTTGGTTTTCGATTCACTTAAGTTGCAAAAAATCACAAAATATATTACTTATTGCTAAAAAAAAAAAACAAACCATTTAAATACATATAAATACAATAAGTTCGTTCTTTGGTGTAGAACTTTGCGTTCAAGCTGATTCTTGCAAATGACACAAATATCAGAACTTTTATTTAAATAAGGACACATTGTTAAGTTTGAATATGGCTGCATTCAAGCTTAAGGATTATTAAAATAGAAATAGTTTAACTTTAATTTCAGAATGAAGCCAAACTAAACAGCAATTTAGGACATTAGTTTCTAATTACTTTAAGCGTTTTAAGCGAACGGAGAATTTTTTATGCATGCTAAGCACAGTTCGAACGCTACTTTAAAATTTACATATCAAAATATCTGTATGTACAAATGTATCCCCATAAACAAAGAAGTTATCAAATGTCTTAATCATACATCTCTATTTCATAACGTAACCCGTCACCGAAGATCGAAACCCACTGGAATTTTAAATATAGTATTGCATATGATCAGGACTGCTGGAATTAAATTGATTACAGTATGGATAACTTCAATTAAATAAAATATATTTTCGTTAAAACTACTCGTTCTATGGTTTTCAGCTCTACAAAAAATCCCAGTTTTCTTTTGGCAAATACATATTACTTTAGCTCTCACAGCACAATGTACTTTCATAAATATGTACATATGTATCTTATGTAAATATCTTTCATGAAAGCAACTAAAATGCGACTTGGAAATGTGCACACAAGTGCTTAATTTGAGACGTCAAAAATTTATCAAATATCATCATTGCACATTCCCTTCCTATAAACTGTCTGCCTACTCTACTAAGTATTTTCTTCTTACACATTAGGTGCGAGACGCACTCATCGAGCTTTGACTCGTACTCGCCGACATGCCCAATTCCTCATCTGATTCGTCCGAATCTAGCGGACTGATACGTATCGCTTGATACCATTTATTAGTCAAATCTGCCATTTGTGACTTGCACTCATGCAATTCTTGGCTATTGAAGCGACGTGTAAAGAAAGGAATGAAGAATTTTCGATCCATACGCCCGAAGCCGCCTACGCGTGTTTGTGCGAAGGAAACATCCTCCTCCTCAGTCAGTTCGGATAAGTGCTCAGAGTCAATAGCTTGACCCCATTCACGTGTCTTTGAAAGCGAAATCGATTTAGTGCGCTTTCGCGTACGCGTTCCACCACGCCGCGATACATCCGAGGAATTTGCTGTTCGTCCCGAGCGTGTACGCCGTTTTTTGCCTGGTTTTAGGTATTTTAGCAGCGGCATAGTTGAACCGCCAAAGAATAGCGTTGTGAAGAGCACAATAATGAGTGTCGTAGTGATGAGTACACGGCGTGTTTCATCGTTGGGTAGATCCAAATGCAGAGAAAGTGCATATGAAATGGCACCACGCAAGCCAGAGAACCACATTATGAACTGCATTTTGTTGGTGATTTTATGCTCGCGAAATTTGTTAACCAAGAAAGCCAATGGAAATATGTTGCATGCGCGCCCGAGGAGGCAAAGCACAATTGACCAAATCACAAAGGAAAGTTCGACTTGATGTTTAAAGGAGAATATTGCAAGTCCCAAGTAAGCGAACACACAAGTTTCCGCGATGAAGGAAAGTGTGCGCATAGTTTGTTGCATTGTAATCTGCGTAACGGTGGAAAGATTAAAATGCGTGTAATGCGACATGACGATCCCACAGAACAGTATGGCCATAATGCCACTCAGATGTATGCCCTCAGCAAGCACGTAAGGTGCGTAGGTGAACATTAACATCATGGCGAACTCGAGCGAAGGATGTTTACGAAGATCAACATGCTTTAAAAGCAACGCCGATATGAGTGCGAAAACTACGCCAATACCAGCAGAGGCGAAGAACATTTCGCAGAATGTTTTAAGTGCTGAAAAGATTTCCTCACCTGTTGTTGCCTGACTATTAGCGGGGGTATTGGCCGATTGGGTGATCGACGTGGTGAGAACAATGGAAATGGCATCGTTCAGTATGCTCTCGCCAAAAACCAACATGTTTAGTATAGGATCTACGTCCAAAGCATGGAATATAGCTACGGTAGCGACTGGATCCACAGCCGAGATGAGTGAACCAAAAGCGAATGATTCAGAGAAGTTAAGCCTAAATGAAATGATTTTCATTAATTACATATTATTAATCATACCTATGCTGAGTAAAATTCTACCTATTTGTATAGCAAACTTACTCACCTGTAAGCGACCTCTGCCACTCCCAGTAAATAACAACCAGCTCCGATAACTAGCGCCGAAATGGTCGTACCAAATATAGCAAATACCAGAATCGAACCAATATTTTGAAAGAAGTTGCCCTTATGCAAATTATAGCCCGATTCGAATATAATCGGCGGCAATAGAACTAAAAAGAATCCCGTCGGCGAGAATACTTCCTCACGCTTCCAGCTAGCATTCTCACCCGACATAACCTTGAGGAGCAGCCCTATTAGGGCACCCAGAAATACAACCACAATGCTTTCGGGTAAATACTGAAACCCGGTCTGCAGCATTGAATGTATGAGCAAAATGCCCAACATAATAACGCATATGACGAAGAAAATCGACAACGATGAATTATGTTCCTGCTCCACTGCATGCTGATCTGGTAGTGGCGGATCAGCAGTGGGTGTTGTAGCATTCTGAGTTGTGTTTGTGGGTGCCAGCGTCGTAGTGGTCGTCGTGTTTGTTGGATTAGTATTTGTATTATTTGTATTAATGATCGGTACGCCTGATATGGATGCGGTCGCTACAGATATAAAATTTCGTAGGTTGTCAGCTGTATTATCTTGTGGAGTGTTTTTCAGGCCCACAGAAACGCCATCAGTGCTAGCCCCAATCTGATTGACTGCTGCCGGTTGAACTGGGGTCGCTGAATTAGCAGAGGGCACAGTATAACTGATGTTATTATTACTGATCACGGTTCCATCAATGCCATTGGTATTGTTCGCCCCAATTGCAGTGCCCAAGAAAACGCAAATAGCAAACGCGACAGTATAAACAATCACCTTTTGCGTAGACATTTTTAGCAAATTTTTAAAAAATTTCTGCATATGTATCACACCGGGTAACGCTTTTATTTAGCCATTCATGTAAGTTTTCAGAAATTGTAGTTCCAATATTTTTGCAAATTTCGATATATTCAAGAAAATTCCACCATCGCACAATTTTACAATTACAACTACAATGCACACACGTCACTTCACAAATGTCAACACAATCATCTGTGTAGTTTTGTTCGTTTTCTTACGTTTCTTTATCTTATAATTTGTTGTTGTTTGCGCCAGCGCTTCACAAACATGTACAAGAAGAATCTTACTGCCATCCCTAAATTGGCGCGTTAAGCGCCAAACAACTGTCAAAAATCCTCATGCCCATACAATTTGTATGAAGCATCCTACAATAACGCGGCGCTAACGCCGAGCAAATGGAATTTTCATTTTTGACAGGGCGTTACGTGTTGAAGTTGGATGCGGAAGACGGAAAGAAAGAGAAAGGACAAAAAAGTGAAAGAGGAAACGAGAATAAAAACGAGAGGATCTGAGAAAACGTCAAAAATTACGACGCGTTGATTTGGGGATAGCGCGCGCTGACACTCGTCGACAATGGATAACGCAACGCTTAGCGCTCCAATTTAGGGACGGCAGTTAAGGATCAGTTTTTCAGTGCAAGTTTATACTTGATTAAGTAAACTGAGTTTAAATTAAAACCAGGGGCTCCATTCTGTATCTGTGAGAAAATTTAGTGTACACCGAGTGCAAAACTCACAGCCAAAAACTCACCGACTAAAATTCAGTGAGTTTGATATTATTTATTAATATGTTTTTTGTTAAAGAAAAAAAACGGTATTTTTATGAGAATTAATTAAAACTTGTCAATAGCGACGGTCTTATAATTATGTAACGCAGTGTATCATTTTCTGTAATTTAACGTTTTTTTTCAATAAAAAGGAAAGATAAAAGAAAATTATTGTAGTTATAATTATAAATGAAATGATGAGTATTTTCAGACACCGTAAAGCATTCTTTTCGGTCCATTATCGGAGCACTTCCAAAACACTCCATCTAAGTTATCTTCAGATGAGTTTAGGAGTCCTTCTCACAAAATCATAGCCGATTTGGGGAGTCCGTACGGAGTCTTTGCGAATTATCTAAGAGGGCTTTATGGGACTTCGAAATCACTCATTTAAGGAGTCCTAAAGGCACACTTTTTTCATATATATTGAAAACGCACTTTTCTCCCGCGGATATGCACCTTTGGGACTCTTTTCGGAGCCTGCCTAGGAGCATCAGCACTCCGCAGAGGGAGTCCTTATGGTGCACCCTGTGGACTCCGTTGCTTTATCTTTGCCCCAAGTGCTGCCGGCCAGCGACTTGAGGACATTGTTGCGGCTCTGCACTTTGTTGACAATTGCGGTTGTATGCGCCGAGAAGGAGAGCAGACTGTCGAAGGTAACTCCGAGGATTTTCGGGTTATTCACCGTCGGTATTGTTACGCCATCGACGTGAATACCCAGTGGCAGTCTGACCTCCTTCGTAGAGGTGGGGAAAAGGGCTGCCGAGGATTTCGCAGGGGATAGCGCAAGGCTCCTTGCAGTGAAGAAGTGAGAAATTTCGGAGAGGTAACCGTTTACTTTCGAGCACAAGTCATCAATTCCATTCCCAGACGTCATGATCGAACAATCGTCAGCATACGAGACTATATTAACACCCTCTGGTGGCTGAGGAAGCTTTGAGATGTAATAATTAAATAGTAGCGGGGACAGGACACCACCCTGTGGTACCCCCTGTTTAATTTTACGTGGCTTGCTAGTTTTGTCTCTGAAAATTACTGACGAGTGTCGACCACTCAGGTAATTCTCCGACCACCGTTTGAGTCCCTGTGGGAGTGAGGAGGCATCTATATCTTCTAGTAGCGTTGAAAGACTGACAGTGTCGAACGTCTTGGACAGGTCCAACGCTACTAAAATAGTTCTCTCACAGGGGCGGTTTCGGTTTAGTCCACGAGTTATCTGAGTTTTTATGGCGTTAAGTGCTGTTGTTGTGCTATGCACTTTACGGAACCCATGTTGATGCTTCGCTGGGGTCAGGTGGTTCGTAAAGTACTGAAGCAGCAGGGCCTTGAGTGTCTTCGCTACCGGGGAAAGGAGAGTTATCGGGCGATAAGACTCTCCTTTGTTGGCTGGTTTCCCCGGTTCGAACAGTGGGACCACTCTCCAGATGTCTGGAACGACGAGAGTGGCCATAGACAGGTTGAGGACCCCCGTTAGCTACGCTACTCCCGCAGGACCCAAATTTTTCAGCATAAACATGCATATTCCGTCGGGTCCAATGGCTTTGGAGGCTTTCGCCTTCCCGATGGCTACCCTTACCTCACCGCTGGTGAAAACAAGAGGCAGAGGATGCAGATACCAAATGCACCAAAGTCTATCTCGACTCTGTCGTCGCGCTTCGTCGGGTTGGACAACGACCTAACGGTTGACCAAAGCTTGCTCACACAAGAGGCGAAGTTGCAGGTTTTCAGATGCTCTTCCCATTTCTTCCGCTTAGGTTGTCGCGCTCATCAGCTAGAACAGCCGCTTCGGAAGGAAAATTCGGACGTGGATCCTTAATACATCCTGCTGGGATGAAGCGAGCTGCAGCAGCGGTGACAACCCTGCGGAACTTACGTTCACCTACATGAACGTCGGTTGGTATGGGAAGTGCAGTGAAGGTGCCCTCAGTAACATCCGTGAAGCCTTTCCAGTCAGCTTTGGAAAAGTTCACATAAGTCCGTTGATCCACGGAAGCAAAGTCGGCAGGTTTATCAATCGAGATGACTATGGGCAGATGGTCTGGTCTGGAGAGTCAGCATAGGTCGCCATGATACGCTGTTTATCAGACCAGCGCTGACAATTGTTAGATCTGGCGAGCTGCAGCAGCTGCCCATAATCCTGGTGGGTGCGTCGTCGTTCATTGTGCAGAATGTCGAATCGTCTATCTGCTCAGAAAGATGTATTCCCCTACGATCATTTGACAGGATTGAGTGCCAAAGATCGTGGTGCGCGTTAGAGTCACCAACCACCATACGGTTTTCACCTCTGAGTAGCGCACCTATTTCAGGGTGATATTCTGCCGGGCAGCTGGTGACAGGGGGTTTGTATACATTAAATATTTCGAGCTCAACATCGCCTGACCGGATAGCAATACCCTGACATTCTAGGATGGTATCCCTGCGGTCGATGTCTGCTTCAATGAGACGATACTGCACGGTGTGGTGCGTGATGAACGCTAAACCTCCACCATTATCTCGCTCGCGATCTCGACGGTGCACGTTGTATCCGGCGCAATTCAAGAGGGTTGAATTGCCGTGCAACTTCGTCTCTTTTACCGCAGCTATTAATATTCCATACTTTCCCATAAAGACAGTTATCTCCTCGATCTTGCTCTGGAGTCCATTACAGTTAAATTGTAGCACCTTTGTGTGGCTTGGGAGACCGATTGTGATGGCGACGTCGCTGGGGAGGGATGCGACGGGGCAGCACAGCAAGGGCCCACATAGTCACTCGTCCAATCTCGCGTGTTGCGAAGTCCTGAGCACGCCCTAAAGTGGCACCAGCCGAGGCAAGAGTTGCACTTGACTGATGTCACGTTACGGTATATTCTGGACTGACAAACAGAGCAGATTCTCGGAGGGACTAGGAGTTGCCGGCGGCGGTGTGTGGGTGCTATTGTGTTTGTTTGTGTGTCTATTGTGGTGTTATGTTGGGGTGTGGGTGTGTTGTCCGGTTCGCACAGCATGGGGCCACGAACGACGTGGTCCATTGCCGGTGTGTACGCAGGCCCGAGCAGTTACGGAGGTGACTCCACCCGTCACAGGCATTGCACCTGACCGAGGTGGAGTTTGTATGCAGTGGTCTCTGGCGTACGCAGCAGGTGTAGATTTCTGGTCCTGGGTTTGACTCTATGCCAGCCCTGAGCAGAAGGGTGCGGAGAAGGTGTAGCCCTAGGATCGAGCACCGTTTGATGGATTTCGCCGACCTAAACGGGGTTAGATCGCCGAAACAGCAGCCCTTGGTCGGGTAAAACCCGAGTCATTCCGGTACGTAGAACCTGCTGTCGTGGGAATGTCGGAATGTCGGAACTAGAAATTGTATTTTTACTGTAAAGAGTCTTCCTAATCGCGACGCTAAAGAAATCAGCATGCCGCAAAATTCTGCTAGGAACATTGAAATATAATCTGCTGAGCAATAAGAGACAATCGACGTTACTGGAAATGACATCGAAAATGAAAGAAATGATAATTGGCAATTCAAAGATTTGGGAAAAAATCGGAACAAACTTCCGATACTCTTATAGATTTCGGGAGCATTTGTTTGCAGAGTATGTATTTACGTGTATGGGTATGTTTACTCGGCTATATAAACAAAGCGAAGCAGACGATAATTTGCATAAAATTCTCATAAGAAGAAGCATGCCTTCTATCGCTATCGTCAGTAATTGATACGCCTTGACCCTACTTCAGCACCCTCTACGACAAAAATTTTTACGAGCATATAAAAAGTTTTCCGGACACGACCGGTGAATTCGCTTTAACGCGTTGATCAACAAAACGCTCTTCTACATGCGCACCCTGCAGACCTTTTAGTTGGGCGAGTTTGGTCTCCAGAAATTTATTTATGTTTTGTTTTTTTTGCTTGATTGGCATAATGTGTGCACAGGAGCCGCCGTGGCTAGTTAAGCAATCTTATCAGCGATTTCATTACCGAGTATATATGTATATGTCCAAGAATCCAGATATTTGTCTTATTATGAGACAATGCTTATAAATTTAGAGATTTTTCTTTACTAGAAAAGGGCACATACAAATTTAATAAATATAAATCATTTCAATTAAAACAGCTGACTTGCAAGAATCTGTTTTCATAATCTTCAATTACGTGCCAAAACTTTGTATAAATGTACTTACAATATAATTTTAATGTTTTTTTTAATAAACCTAAAGGTGAAAGTATTCATCAGGCGATGTATTTTGATAAGATTCTGAGCTCTATATAAAAAGAAAAAATAAAAATAATGTATGCTTCAAAACGAAATTAGAATTATATTTTTACGTTATTCCATGAAGATTACGGCGAATGGGCAATAGACTAAATGTTAAGACACTGCACAATTGCTAAGTGTTTGACCTTCGGTTTGTGATCAGTTGTTTTTTTTTTTTTTTGTGAGAATCCTTTTTATTACGGAAGTACATTCGAAAGTTTTCTGCCGAGGGGCAATCGCTTCAAAAAACTTCTTTTTTTTTGTTTTGCGTAAACCTGTGTGCTATCGAGTGTTAGTGCGCACTTTCAACCAATACCATTTTGCGAATTCCCCTTATGATTTCATGAATTTTTTCTTCGCAGTGACCTGTAAATTTATTCGTTTTGAAAAATTTATTAAAAATTTCATTAGCTGTAAAAGAATAACATGATAGGAATCAAAACTGATTATTTCAGATCATCAACATTATTATACATGTATAGATTATTTTGTTGTCTCTGTCAAGCTTCGAGGAAAATATAGCATTGATTGCAATGAATGAACATAAGCTGTCTATAGCACAACCTCCGTCTCGTGTTTTTTGTTTTGATAACGGATTAATTACGGGAAATACGTGTTCATTTGTATATTACAGTTCATTTGCATAATACAGTTAAAAAAAAAATATTTTTATGTAGCGAGATTTGTTTTTTGAAATAAATTGTCTACGTGCATTGATAAGAATTCATACAAGCTTGAAAACTATCACTGAATTTGAAAGTATTTACTAATCAATACCTACAGTCGCTCACGCACGTCATAAATAATTTGAAATGCTTTGTTTATTTTCTTCTATAGCATCTTGAAGTAATAAGTGTTCGCGCACACGCTCCCCATGAAGTGTAGTGGAATGAACGAAGATTCTGAAATTTTCTCTTGAAATAAGACAATATACATCGATATGTATACCTATATGTCGCACACCATATTCAAAAGGGACACAACTCAAAATTTGGCATTTTTGATATTAAGCACCAAAAATGTGAACAGAGCTTTTATTTCCATTTCAGAAAAAGCGCGAGAAAACGTTTGTAATAATTTGTTGAAAAAACCTCAGGTAAAGTCTTCCTTGCCCATATGCTTATCATGTGCTAAGAAATAATTTCTTGAATTTTCTGACGAACGTGTAATTTCGAGTTGGGTCTCTTTTGATGACGGTGTGCGACACATGTGAGCTTAGGTGTAAGGTAAGCTTTCAAATATATGTTGTCGTATTTCTTAAGATTATGGTAATTTCATTGAGCAAGCTGAAAACTGCGCAAGTGCACTCCTTGACCCCGAAAGACCTTAGTTATCAGAAATCTTGGAATACAGAGAAAAATTATATTTTCGAAACAAGCGGAATATCGTTGCAAACATCTGAGATCAGTTCAAAAAGTGGAACAAAAAAACTAATTTTTTTACGTATGCTTTGTAAAAGTGGCATTCCCAATTAGAAGAAAAATATATTCAGGAATCTATAGGCTTTTTTTAAGCCACGCGCGAAACTAAGATATCAATTGTTTATTTTATTACTTACTTACCGGAAATGGTACATCCTGTTCCGTGTGTTTCAAAAGTTATTAGCAATAAACTAAATTAAAACGCTATTAATTTATAATCGATTTCTTCATAAGAAATAGCTACATATTTCTAATTTCATGATCTAGTATAGCTTAGAGCTGAGCTTATCAATCTTGTATATTTAAAACCATCGACATAACTAAGAAAACATTTTTTCAAATGCGTTTGTGATACTTGAAAGTGAGCTGATAATTTCTGATTTTAATATACATATATGGAAAGTACTTAAGTATATGTATATAAATGAAAGCAAATCCAATATTAAGGTTCAGTCTGTTTTTGAGCTAACTGAGAGTAAGTTCATGCAATCAGAAATGATTTGTGATTTTTAGAATGCAAAAGAAGAAGAAAGTAAAAGTGACATCAATAAATAAATCCGAAACATATTATAACTAAAATAAGAGGAATGAAATTTTAAGTTGGAGGAATCAGTGACAGCGGCCTTTGACATTTTTAAAATTCGTAAATTTAAATGCTACATTTTTCTTTAATCCTTACCCGTTAATTCACGCACAAATAAGCAAATAGCTATGATTTATCTTTTAACATTGTGCCTTTTTTTAAACAAAATTTTTTTAAGGATCAATCCTATGATGTACGTTTTTCTTAATCGGACCAGTGAAAAATTTATGTAAATTGAGTGTATGAAATTTTGCATATTGCATATTAAACAGGACTTTTCACGGCTTTTGAATACTAACAAATAAGTTAAGTGCAAAATTTTATAAATGAAAATTGTGAAAACTGCCTTGCTAAGTATGTATGTATATATGTTTTGAAGTGCTTAAAGTTTGTGAAACCGTTTTTTTTTTTTTTTTTTTTTGAAAGGTTGGCAATACTTTATTTATGGTTTTTATTTTTCGATCGACACGAAATGTATATTTACTTTAATTATCTAAGAATAATAATATACTTCGTTCGCAATAATTCGGATTCAGCGATAGCATTTTTCATTCAGTGATAAATTTCAAAAAACCGGACCGTGACGGATTCTTTTTCGTCCATCCTAGGGATAAAAAAACATTATTCTTATATTTTTAGGTAATCACTTAAAATCGTAGGATTTCAAAATTATAATTTCGCATGATTTTATTTTAATCACTCAATGAATCTTTCAATTGCCAACGATTTCCACACGTACGACTTTCAGAGCTTCTCAGAACATATCTCTTTTACTTTTATTGAAATAACGTAATTTTTTATTACTTGGATTTTCTGTTAAGTTTATTACCTTTTTGTCTCAAAGATAAAATTATTTTTAAAGGGGGTTTTGATTTTTTCTTACAATAACCACACAATTTTCTTGGTTAACAAAAGTTGTGTTCCCGTACGATTTCGAACTTGTTAGAAATATTCAGAATTCGTCCTGAAAATAGTGGCCCGTAGTCATAGTCAAAATAAAGTCGACTTTAAAGTTAGTTGCAGCTTTTTGACATAATTTTCAATGGGATATCTGTCAAAAAAGCTGCAACTAACTTTAAAGTCGACTTTATTTTGACTATGACTACGGGCCAGTATGTATTGTAGATAATCAGCCTTATCATGAGTTTCTTTTTCTCCCGAAATCGTTCATTTTTAGCTTCCGTAAATTCACCGTATTTTTCACGGGGTAAAGGTGGAATATTCAATATTTGCAATACCTTATATTTGAAACTAATGAACCGATTTTCAAAATGTGGATATGATTGGAAGGGTAATTGAAAGATCTTTCTTTTGATATTTACATATATCTATACATAAATATTTTGTTTACATACATATTTCAACAAAAACTAAAATAATAATTTTCCATTACGGAACCAGGCTTTGAAAAAAATAAAAATGAGGGGGTGCAGAGCGGGTCCCCCTGGTTCTAAATCCGAACCGCCTCCGGTGGCTTATAGTTTTTGGTAATTTGCATTTAAAGTTGCAAAAAATATAAAATTCAACCTCACTTTGCTTTGTAGACCAACAGAACTGAAATGTCGGTACTGCCACACAAAAAAAATGCCCAAATGAACAACACTGAAGACGGGAAACAAGAAAAACGCAGATAATACGTTTTTTTCATCATATATCGATGTACTGATTAAAAAAAAAAGCACCGCAGTCTAAAATCCCGCGATTTTTTATTAAAATTTTTAGTGATTTATCGAGGTATATATTTTTATGAAAAAAGGGCCGCAGGCGAAAGTTTGTAATGAAAAATCGTGCCATTTTCTATTAAAAATTTTAATTATTTATCGAATATAATTTTTTTAAAGCGCCACAGACGAAAATGTGTAATAAAAACACGCGAGTTTTTTATTGAAAATTTTCATTATTTATCGAAGTACTGATTTTTATAAAAAAAAGCGGTACAGGTGAAAATTTGTAATAAAAATTTTATTACAAATTGTCATTAATTATCGAAGTACCGATTTTTATAAAAAAAAGCTTTTTAAAAATAAAGCGTTCGACAACATATAAGTAGTAAAAGTGAATACCTTGATTATGTGCCCTTATTTGCGGTGTATTTTCTTTTAAAACGTATAGTAGCAGACATTTGGTCTTACTGTCGGCCATTGTTATTTCTTTTTGCTTGTGAAATGCGAAAAAAATTTTTAATTCATTTATAAACGCGTTTTACTTAATTTACTGATTAATTAATGTATATTAAAGTATTTCAAACGCTTTTACTATATTAGAATATTAGTAACATTGTGAAAGTGGTAAATTTAGTTAAAGAAGACGCCTATTAAAATTCCCACTGAGTTTAATATAAAAATGCCGTATACTTTGAATGATATAACTATCGGTTGCGTGATGGAAATCACAGCCCTTTTCTCTTTCAAACTAAAAGCTTTTTGTGTGAAATTATGGAAAATCTCACTTCAAGTTTTCACAAGACAAGAATTGCCTCCTAATAAGAAGGAACTCGTACGCACCTAAAATTTACACGTAAAAACGCGTTGTATCTGTTTAGGGCTTAGAGGATATATCGACTTTCGATATGAGCTAAATCGATTTTATCAGCACTAAAGTTTTGTTGTGCAATTTTTTATTTGTAATTTTTGGGAAAAGAAAGTCGGCAAAAGTGCACGGCGACGAAGAGCATGAATAAAAACAAAGTGGATGAATAAGTATCATTGATAGGTATGTATATTTTATAACCTCCACCGGCAAGACTTTGCCGCCTCCATCTCGACACCGTCGTCAACAGCTATCCACATTCGCAATATGAGCGATAACGAACATATGTATGTATGTACATAGTTGACGTCGCCGCCGCTCCAACTGGTGTGGAATTGGTTTGCTGTCTGCTATTCGTAGTATAAATTCTGAGAGTGCTTAATTGACTTCGCTCTTTTTCTACCCAACCGTTGAGAAGTGTGGACGTGTTTCTGCTTCTGGCCAAATCGCTCGCATTTTGTGTTGAGAATTGTGTGTGTGACCAAACCGACTAAAAGTAAGCTGGCTGGCAATCTGTCACAATTAAAGGTTCAATTGAAAATAAGAAAAATAATATAGGAAACAGCTAAGTGAATTTACGGAGTGCAAACGCCGTGTACATTTGGGAATCTACTAGGCGAATTCACGCAAAATATTGTGTTACATAAAAACGTTCGGAGCACGGCAGACTGTATTTTGCAAATTAAATTTTCAGAAGATTAGTGTTAAATTAACATCCGTGTTTGGTGCTCGTACTGAACCTGCTGTCGCTGTCGCTGCCTCCAACGTCATTTCGCTAGAAAAACGCTTCATCATTTGCGAAAAATCAATTAGTTTCTCACTGCCCTTTACAGTTGCAACAATAATAAGCAGTAGTACATCATTTGTCAATCTTCAACAGCATATCCACTTATACAATCGCTACACGCAACTAAAAAGCTACAACATGCCGCAATCATCAGCTGCTGTTACAAACGGTTACTCCAACGGCTGCAATGGAAGAACAACCGATTCCTATGACATGGAAGATGGACAGACATTCCTTTTTACCTCTGAATCAGTGGGCGAGGGTCATCCCGGTAAGTGTCAATATATAAGTTTTCTATGTACGATTAATTTATGTATATGCATATGTATACTTTAAGATGCATTGCGTATGTAGAAGTACATATATGGATTTTTGTGTATGCGGTACTCGATGTCATGCCCGACACAGGTAGACAGCAAATTCGCAATCTGAAACGTAGTGATCAGCCTGGTTGGTGTTTTTCCTTGTAGGAAGTAAAACAATAAACTAAAAAAGAGTTGTATAAAAAACATCGCAGTATAGACGATTAAATCATGATTCATAAACGATGCGGAGAGCAGAAACCACGTTTTTTTTTCAATGAACGGAAAATTTTCATCTTCTGTATGACAATAAAAGCTTTAAAATTTTCGCAAATATCTAACATATTTTGCCGATGAACCGACTTGTTATAAAAGGTTTGCTAATTTTTTTCGACGCTCACATGAAGCGCCGACAAAATGGCGGCGTCTCATTCTTCTCTAGGTACTGAGCATGTGTTCGCTATTTCTAACCGCTCAATACCTTCTTGTTTACACGATCCCTCTGCCACTTGACTTCTCGGATAGCTACGGCTGTAATTTGTATTCAATGATATAAGTTAATAAGTAGATACTACAAATGCTTGTTTTATGAATTCAAGAAAGTTCTTTTTCCTAATATCTGGGGTCTATAAGGGATAAACTTTTTGATAATAGTTTTCGTATTCCAATAAAACATAATTTTATTAGTTTATTTGTGTATTTCATTCGATTCCTTTTCTATTTGGGACGAGAAGAACTTTTTTAGTTTCCCTTGTGCCTATGTATTTCGTGTTCCCGAGAAACGCGTGTTTCACATGGCACACAAACACAAAGTAAACCACGAAAATTCTCGCATTTAGAGTGACCAGGTAGACTGTAGCTGTACATACTATATACACATATGTATATCTGCGGGCTATATTGTTGTTAAACATTAGTTTCTGTAGCNGGTACTGAGCATGTGTTCGCTATTTCTAACCGCTCAATACCTTCTTGTTTACACGATCCCTCTGCCACTTGACTTCTCGGATAGCTACGGCTGTAATTTGTATTCAATGATATAAGTTAATAAGTAGATACTAAAAATGCTTGTTTTATGAATTCAAGAAAGTTCTTTTTCCTAATATCTGGGTTAAATTTTTTGATAATAGTTTTCGTGTTCGAATAAAACATAAATTTATTAGCTTATTTGTATATTTCATTCGTTTCCTTTTCTATTTGGGACGAGGTGAACTTTTTTAGTTTCCCTTGTGCCTATGTATTTCGTGTTCCCGAGAAACGCGTGTTTCACATGGCACACAAACACAAAGTAAACCACGAAAATTCTCGCATTTAGAGTGACCAGGTAGACTGTAGCTGTACATACTATATACACATATGTATATCTGCGGGCTATATTGTTGTTAAACATTAGTTTCTGTAGCAGTTTGTGAGTTTTGACACCGTTCTATAAGTATCAGTGGTTTCATACGCAATCTTTATCATTTGTTTACATCGTAGGCTGTAAAATATCCACAGGAATTAATATAAATGCATCTTCCAACAGCTGGTCACACGATTGGATGATGAAACTTAAGCGATAGCTTGTTTGCGTTATTCATGCGCACCATGTGCTTGCCAAAGCCTCTTTGGCTTCTTCTCATTGCGCTCTGGCACCACTTCTAATAGTTTTGTTATGCCTGTGTGTGTATGTAAATGGTGGCGCGGCTTTGTACATCATATGTTTGTTTGCAATAGCATATGAAAACTACATACTCTTCCAACGTCCGCTTACCTTGCTGCATGCGTTTTTGTGCTGGTGCTCATATATGCATATGCAATATGCTCCCAAAGACCCCATCGATAGGCGATGTTACTCAATTTCGTTTGGGTTCTCCAACCCTCTCTTGATTTTATTCTTAATTCTCCCTAGTTATGGATTCTGATTATACATATGTAGGATGTATGCATGGCGCATGGCGCAAGGCAAATATACATAAGATGTTTCACCAATATGATCTTTAATCAGTAAGCAAAATTGACAAAAAAAAACCGACCCACTTGTGCCATTGTCTTTTCAAGACNCATAAGATGTTTCACCAATATGATCTTTAATCAGTAAGCAAAATTGACAAGAAAAAAACAGAAAACTGATTGCGGCGCCTCCGACCCACTTGTGCCATTGTCTTTTCAAGACTTTTTAGGTTTTCTTTACGCCAAACTGAGCTTTAAAAATGTACCAAAACCACGTGGTCGCAAACTTCTCAGTCGTTGCGTTAATGACTATCTGCGTTGCTACACTTGTTTTTAGCGTTTTGTTCTCAGTTAGTGATACAGTTTTTGTTACTTGGCTATTTCCGATATTTTTTTAATAGTTCAAAAACTAAATATAATGTAAAATATGCCACATATACATACATTTAGTATGAAAGTGGAAACTGATAAGGGAGTGATTGTCTCTCCATGTTCAATTAAAATTATATTCAACACAAGGAAATGAGGTTACAACAGCCTTTTGCGTTTTATGTTTTTTGAAAGTGTTATTTATAGTTATTAATCATTTGTTGATGTTAGCAGTGAACAATATGGTCTGATAAGTGTGGTCTACATTTAGGGTGTATTGGATTTGTTATGGAGATTCAGCAAGTACTGCAGGGTTTCACAAAAATTATCGGAAAGTAATTTTCTATTACTGTTGGAATAAAAATGTTTAGTTTTTGTATTTTATGTTTAGTATTGCCTATTTGAAGTGAATATTGTTTTAGGAAATTGTAGGCTTAACGCTTAGGTCACTTTCGCTACGTATGGGCGATTCCAGCGAAAAGTCTACCGCGTAAAACAAAAAAAAACTAAAAGTCCTATATGCATCTTAGTTATTTATAGGCCGATTTGGCTGCTTTTTATAATATATACTGGTTATATAAGCAGAAATATTTTTTCCAAAAATGGTCTCTTTAGGCAGACCCGGTTGGTTCAGATATTTTGAAAAACCGTCTTTATGCTATGATTTGTTTCACATTTAGCATGTTTAGTTGAAAGGTAAAAAGACATAGATTTGCACAAAATTGAACCGCTGGTGGCGTTGATGTCAAAATAAAAAGTAGATTTTATGTGGAAAGTTCATGTTTGCTTCCAGCTAAAAATTATTTCAAGAACAATATTAACAAAACTTTTTCAATGGAAATTTGAGTAACGTAACGCCAGGTAACGTTACGTCAGATAATTCAGCTCATTAAACATAAGGCAGAAAAGATGTCAACATTTAAAAACGTGGAAATATAACCTTGAAACATTTTCAATATTAATTATTTATTTATTTACTGGCTGTGCTACTACAAACTTTTATACAAACAGTCTTGCCCAATTCGCAGAGTTTGGCAAATAGAGTTACCAACAGTTGTAATTTTTTTACTAAATAAGAAGATATTTAATTGCTATGCTAATCTAGATAAACCTTTTTAAAATTTTGACTTTTTCGATTTTTTTTTTGTTTAATTTACATATTCTCCGATCTAATTGCTTTCATTGCGTAGTTAGTACGAAAATTGCATTTTTAAAACTTTGGCTAACGTTTCGGTGATAATTTTACTACTACAAAAGCAGAATTAATAAAAATTGTCGTTAATCCATAATAGATAAATTATAAAACGCTAATCTCAGGCAAAGCTAGTAAAAACTGAAAATCTGTTGTTTGAGAATCAATAAACATTTATTCGATATTGTCATAGTCATTTTGAAATTTAAAGTGATAGTTTTAGAAATTAAATCTCTCCGTAATTTTAATCAGCTTAAACATGAAACATATTTGTTAATGGAAAATATTATTATAGCAACCTTAAATTTATAAATTACAAATCAAATTACTTGTTACTTTTTCACCTAGAATTATTCGTCAGAAAAATGCTTGTGAATGCCGTTCTTCAGTATCTTTCCACGGCGTGGAAATGATTACTCTTGTATAAGCACTCATTTCAGAGTTCATTTTTTCAGAGAAGTTTATATTAAATGTCATGGCATTATGATAAAAATCTTCCTATAAAAATTTATGTACATACTAATTAATATTAATGCAGCTTACTGGTCAATTAATGTTTCCATATTATTTCATTATTTAAAATTAAAAAAAAACAATGTCTGGCGTTCAAAAAGCGCTAACTCCCACAAAAATTTAGCAGTGCAATTGTACGCTTTTTTTTACATATTTTTTGTTCATGCCGAACTTTTTTGCTATGTATAAATCCCATCTACGTCATATTAACTAAAGTGGCGACGGTGTCATATCGCACGCTCGTGCACGCGCCCCACTTGATCCATAGCGAATATACCCGAGATTTTTGCAAGGATCAGTCTTTATGCAATTATGTATGCTTTATCGCTTTTGCGAAAATCTGCTTGCCGACGATTTTTTTTTCTTTATTTTTTTTTTAATGTCACTTGTTACATTTATGCTGCATAGACAATTTGGCATTGAATTTCGCTGGCAGAGCGTAAATTTCTTTATTTTTGATTAATTCTTTATTTTTTATTCTTTGGTTATTTTCTATGTTCGTAATTACAAAGTTAATTGTATGCAATCGAATGAATTGCGCGTGCTACAGAGAACCGACCGATGTCATTTATATAGATATGTTTGTAGATATGTGCATACAGATGTAGGTGGGTAAATTCTGCCGCTACCACGAAATATATTCGCTCGGATTTTTATGTACACAAAAGTTGGTCGTTTGCTAGATATTACATTTTTATTTTGTTTTTCACTTCTTGCCTTGATTTTGAATTTTCTATGATTTGCTTGTTTCTTCGAAGTCTATTCTATATCTATGTACCACAATGATTTGTTGCTATCCGCCAACAGATCGTTCTCTCACATATTTGGTACTTGTTTGTAATGTATATTTGTGTGCATTGTAATAAAAAAAAGTTTAACAGCTGCAGAACTGAAAATTTTGTCGTTAAATATCATTAACTTAGTATAGAAAGGCCCTAACTCATTTTCTTTTGAAATTTAGCTCTGCGCAAAAGTCGATAGATTACTCATTAAAGACTTAAACAAACATCAAAAAAACTAGTTGCTATGTTAATTGAAAACCAATGTAATGAAGCAAATCGCAACTGAAGAACTTAAGTTGGTATACAATTTTATAACTACTCTGTAAAGAAACAAAACTGTTATAGCCTATTTCCTCGAGAGGCTTAACTGCAGTTAAGAGCTCAGAGAAGTTCAAATAATTCCAACATGGGGTCATCGGCAATATTCGTTTGCTTCTACTTAATAGGTGGAATTACCCCCGTCGAGTTGTAATCTCCGTTTTTTCAAACGGCATAAACTGCAGTTAAGGCTTGGTGGAATTCAACTATTAGGTAGTAGACCATTTCTACGTTGAGGTAGTCGCGAAGGTATATAAGCATTTAATTTATGTTTCTACGCATGGACTTAGACATCAGCAATGCAAACGAAAGGTATTTTAATATAACCTCCCAAGTTGCAAAGTCATAAATGCAAACTTAGATAGTCTTCGAAAAGTTAGTATGCACGCCGATTCCATATTTTCAAACAAAAATTACATACATATAGGGCATAGAAAAATGTGTTACCGGAACATGTGAAAACGCCGAAATTCTTAAAATGTTTTATCCCACAGCTAGACGATTGTCAACAAAACAAACTTTCTCATTTGATTTGCTATTGGGGTGGGCTTGTTTTTAGGTAGATACATTGACTTTGTATTATAGCTCTGCCCGAAAATTATTTTATGTACATATATATTGTCTACATTAAGCAGCTGATGAGTATCTCTAGGTCAATCTATCTTTCCTTAAGCTATTTTATTAGTGTTTGTTAGTGTCTATAAACACACTATACATTATATGTATTTTAAGTATATATGTATATGCATTTGCATACATAAATACATACATATGTATGTAGTATGTAAATTTAAAAATCACCTACAGAATACCTACACAGTATATGTACCTATAATTTCACTATTTTCATTGCTCTTATTTTCTATTTTTAGATAAAATGTGTGATCAAATCAGTGACGCTATTTTGGATGCACACTTGAAGCAGGATCCCAACGCCAAAGTAGCATGCGGTAATGATTTGAAATATTTTTAAAAATTTGTATAAGTTATTTGTTGTATTTTAATAGTTGGAAGCGAAATAGCGCAATATTTTTTTTTTCTAGTAGACGAACACTAATAGTTTAGCTGCTACTGGTGAGCACATTCAAGTCTCTTTTTTTGATGCTGTTGTTTGAACTATTAGTGAATTGAAATTAATTATTTGCAATACCAACGTCCAACGCCTTCAAATCATAACCAAACAAGTAATTTTTAAGCAAAAAATACAACCGACTTCGGTGCTCATATACGAATTTATGAGTAACGATTATATTAAATATTGATAAAAGGTTATAAAACAATCACAAACACATTGCCTTTCGCTGAATTAAGGTTTTCTATACCAAGATTATCCTAATAGATTATAAAATATAGTTCAATAACACACATAAACTCGCTTTTGAAATAGGCATTTTTTTTTTCAACTGAACGGTAAACTTTGTACTGCTCTACGCAACAACTTTGTGGTTAGAAGCCCAATATATATACACGAGATGTGGTACTTCGTTATAAATCTGCTGGTGTAATTATTTTTCCTGCACACAAAAATTTGAAAAAAAAAAAATAGTTTTGAGAATTGCCTTCCAGTGCGCGCCGCTAAATTGTTTATTCAATTGCTAATTTATTTACTCCAGAGATATTAGAACTTGCTTAGGGTGTAAGGAAATACCAAGTGTGC